CTGTTTATATTATTATATGTTTATAAGCATGCGATCTTATATTAAATTAATAAATATTTCAAAAAAAAATTCATAAATATATTTGTTGTTTTGTCAACCAAATAGATATGCATGTACAAAAAAAAACTATATTATATATATGAGAAAGAAAAAAAAATCTGAAGGACTAAACGTGGAGAAAAAGACAAAGGAGATACTCTACGTATTAATTATTTTAATAGGTAACTGTAAATCTGTATATATTTTTTACCGACTCCATCTTTTGCTATCTATTTTTATATGTATATGAAGAGGGATCATCATTTTTTTTTCTTGCGAATCTTCTTCTCTTTTCTTTGCTGTATATATATTTCCTTTTCTCTCTTATATAGAGAGCCTTGCAGACCAAATACAAATATATATATATTAAAAAAAAAAAAAAACATACATATATGCTTGTGAATAAGTAGAATACGGATAGCTTTTTTGACTAAAACCCTAATTAAACCCGAATTGTCCTAAATCGATTATCATTAGTTCATATATACGGCATTGGGATCCTGTCATTCACGGATTTAAAACCGGAGTCCAAATTTGAAATAACCAAGTCCCGTCGAAGCCGAAGGGAGTGAGATCTTAATCCTTATATCTATTACATGTGTTTATAAAAGAAGTGGTTGCGAAGAATCATCATCAACTGATTTCAGACATTTTTTCTTCTTTTTCTTGGTGTTTTTCACTGACCTCGTTTGCTTGATACAGTTCAATGAATGCAGAGTCAAGCCATGAGCTTGGTGCAAGGCCGGTCCAAAGTTTTCAAAATTTTTTTGATGATTATGCATCACTAAAAATTTAGGCGTTTTATATATAAAAAAAATTATCCCAAAAAAAGTGTTAAATAATATGAGACCCTAAACAATGGATTCACTTGCGTGCCCTCCGGACCGGCCATGGCTTGGTGCATAAGCAAAATCAAATGAAAGCTGTTTTATTTCATGTCTTTTTCTTACTAATATCTCTCCGTTTTATGTGTAGTTGGTGCTTGTTGGCAAAGCAACCACCGACGGTACCTTCAATGTAAGAGCAAAAGCTACCGTGACTAAAAAAGTTAAACTGAAGGCTAATGCAACTTTGTCGACGGCTCTTGTGAGCCTCGAGTACATGGGCCTAAGCTCCCGAACACAGCTGCAGTTCGGGACCAATGACTTAGGAGGAGCCACGTACATACAAGTTCTGTTTCTTCACGCCTTTAATAGTTCTTACATACATCATTCTGAAATTGTGTATTTTGTGCCGCCGCGAGCCTCACCCCACCTATCACTAGGGTGTGAGTTTGTTTGTGCGAGTCTTTCTCAAAAGTCTGCGGTTGGATATGCAGTCAGATATGAAGATGAGAAAATGCTATTATATAAATTAATACACGGTAGGTTATCAGTCTCTCTTATGTTGGTATTTCTCTAGGTAGAAACCATCCAGTATGATTAGATTGTTGAATCATTTCCTTATCAATAGTTTGCCACTGCGCAAGGCTTTGACACAGGTAACATTCTTATGACATATGTGCATAAGGTTTCTAAAAAGGTAATGTTCCTTTCTCGTTTATCTTTAAACTCAGACTAGAGATCATAATCATGACACATATATTTTTTGCTCATAATCAGGTTTTTCTAGCCACGGAGTTAGTCTTCAACTACTTTGTGATTACAATTTCGAACAGATAACATTGCCATTTTTTCTTTTAATGGAATTGAAACAGTTTTTCGAAATCTATTTATTTCTAATATTATTGCGCCTTCTGTTTCAGTATCGTGTCCGAGAAAATGTCGATTCTGACGGTGTGGCTTGTGGTCTTGTGGAGAGTGGAATGAGGACTGGAAAGATTATTCTTTCAGCCAAAATGGCGGACTTGAAAAAACGAGATGTTGTTTTCGGTTTAGGCGACCTTTGATTAGGTAAAAAACAATTGATTAGCCTTTGGCCAAACTCTCACCGAATGTGGATACTTGTGATTCACAGGTTGACATAGCTATGAAGATGTCCAAGATGGAGGAGTTCACTACCCGATCAGCTCCAACCTTGATAACATAAGAAGAATTGTCAAGTTCAACGACTTAAATCATAAACTTTTGTCTGCACCTATGTGATACTTTTTTGGAAGATTTTTATAAATATACTAAATTATATAAGAAATTTGAAAACTACACTAAGTGTTATAGTAATTTGAATACTACTCCTTTTATATTAAAAATTTACTGTAATACCCTTTTAATTAATTTAAATATTATTTAAAGTAATAAATTAAAAATAATATGAATTAAAAAATTTAAATAACTAAAATTCATTATTATTTATTAATAATAAAAATAAAAAACTTATTTACAATGCTTGGAGTAATCATATATTATCTAAAATTTTGAATAGATAAAAAATATAAATACTATTTTTGATAATATTAGTAAGATTTGTAATTTACTTAAAACTAATAATGAAAAATTATATAACAATAAATATATTCTTCTTATTTTTGGTAAATTTATTCATTGTATGGTTATTTATTGATAAAGTCAATTTTTTTGAACTTTCGACTTATTTTTCGCTTTTGTTGACTTAATTTTCTTTTCTGTCGACTTATTTTACAACACTCGACTTATATTTTAACTAGTTTATTTATAAAATAATCAATTTTTTGAACTATTGACTTATTTATTTTGTTCATTGATTTATAATTTTTGATGTCTACATGTTTATTTATGGTAGACTTAATTCATTTTATATTGACTTACTAAAAAGGTCAATTTTTTGAACTATCGACTGATATTTTATTTCGTCGACTAAATTTTTTTTCTATCGACTTATTTATAATTGTAGACTTATATTTTGGTTGATTGATATTTGACATAGTCGACTTTTTTTTAACTATTGACTTATTTAATTTTAAATTGATTTATTGATAAAGTTGATTTGTTGAACTATTGACTTATATTTTATTTTTGTCGACTTAATTTTATTCTCTATTGACTTATATTAAAACAGATGACTTGTATCTTGGTTAATTGGTTTTTTACATTGTCGATTCTTTTGAACTGTTGATTTGTTTTCTTAGTAGAGATAATTATTTATTAGTTATAATATTTAAATAAGTAATTTATTTTAGGATAATTAAATTTAAATTATAATGTATATTCGTAATTAAATTAAAATAAATATAGGGAATATATATATATATTATATATCTCAAAAATATTAACTATGAAAAAATCTAAAAAATATTTTTGAATTATATTTAATTAAAATTCTTAGTTAATATTAAACCAATCATTATCCAAAATATTTACTACATCAACCCAAAATCTATTAATTTAATTATATAATTAAAATTCATAATTTATATCATAATTATTAGTTTAGTTTCATCATTATCTAACATTTTCACAAATAATAATAATAAATTTTGAGTATATAAGGTTTTTAAAGATGAACAGTTTAATTTTGAATTTTAAATAATATTTGTAAAAACTAACTACTCAAATTATTTTATTTTCGTTTTCTGAATTTTTAGTTATTAATTAAGGACAAAAAGTCATTTTTGAAAAAGAATAAAATACATCTCACATTTTTTAAAATTATAGTATACATTTCAAAATTCTAATAAAATTTAGGGCATACAATCCAATTATTCATACTTTCTTCTTATACTATCCAAGTTACGTTATTCAATTTATTAGTCTTGTGGGGAAGTTGTATTTGTTATTGGAATTCTGTACAACTCTGAACTGATTTCTTGAGTTGTCGTGAGAATTTTTACTTCTACCGATTTGGCTTTCTCAATTTTGTTTCCGTCTTTTGCATGATTAGGATCCATGAATTTGCAAGTTTGGTCTCGTAACATCTAACTTACACGCTAGCGTGTAAATAATTAATTTAAAAGAGATAATTTTCTATTTTTTTGGTAAATCTTCCGTATCTCTCCGCACTTCCTTATCTAGATTTGTTTAGATTTGTTTTAGAGACAGATCGATTCAAATCCTTTATAATTATATATATATATATCTGCCTTGTGAATAAAGAATAAGGGGCCTAAGAAGAAGTTTTCTGACTAAAACCCCAAACGTTGAATAATAGCATGGGTATTATGTCATCCACGGATCTCAAACCGGAATCTAAATCTGAAAATAACCAAGTCTCGTCGAAGTCGAAGGCAGTGAAAGGTCCATTACATGTGTTCATGAAAAAAGGTGGTTGCGAAGAATCATATACAGCTTGTGTAGGTTGTGATGCGCAGAAAGATGAGTGTAGGGAAGCCTTTTCAATGCTTGAAAAGTGTATGAAAGCTCGCTCTGATTACTTTGAGCCATATCTCGCGTGGCAGAACGCTAGGGCTGAAGTGATGCTGAGAGAAATCGATGCCTTCCTCCATGCGAAACCAAAGGACAGAGACGAGATGTTTACCAAGTTCATGATAAGAGGTGATTGCAAAGAAGCTTTTATGGCTTGGAATGACTTCTGCAAAGAAGCTAAGAAGAATAATAAAAGTTGTCTTCATACACCAACCATGGACACCTTGTTCAAGTGTATGAAGGCTCATTCTGATTACTATCACCCGCTTCTCACGGTATTCAAAAATGCTGAAGAACATTTTAAAAAAGAGATCAAAGCCTTGGATACGAGGGAGGGAGCTGAAGCTGATGCTGATGCTAATCGATGATTAACAAAAGGATTTATTTACGTAATATTTTTATGCTTTCTTTTTTTTTTTTTTCCCTTCTTAATGAATACTCTTCTTCTGTTTTAATATGATTCTAAAAGGCCACGCATTACTTTGTTGAATGTTTCACTTTCAGTCATCGTCTTTATAATTTTTTTTTATAACGGTTTTAAAGATTTTAGGTTAACCTCTTCAATTCGTATTCAACAAATTTACTTACACATTCACCGGAATCTCACTAAGAGCACCCTTATTGGTAAGCTTTATTTGTCTCCATTGATAGGTTCTTAATTAGGGGTTCTTAGAGGGGAAAAAATGTTTTTGTAACTACACTCCTTTTGAGTTGCATAAACAAATGTTTTTGTTGTAGTGAAACCCAAGTTCTTGTGATTTCTTAATTGAATAGATTTTGAAGATTGATATTATAATTACGTCCTCCACTCTCAATTTAAGATCATTTAGACTTTCTTGATGATATAATTTCATGAAGTAGCCAATTCACAATCGAGCATAGGCTGAGCAAGACCTTCATCTCCATTGGAATGACCAATTACACTTGTCGGACTCTGAGATATTTGCCATTCTGCATCTTCATGTGCTGGTCAACAAAACACAGAAAACCATTACATTTATTTCATAACATTCAAGATGAATACATTAACATACTCTTGAATTCAGTCTGGTCGTAAGAAACCATTACCTCCTCCACGAACATCCATCTGATCAGCACTAAACACCCAATTATGTCCACTTTCTTCTTTTTCTTCTGAAATATGCAATGACACCAAAAATGTAAATGGCTAGGGAACCAAAACTTGCAATTAGTGATAGTAGTAACCTTGTGATTATATGTTCAAACTTCAAAATAGAAACCACAAACTTAGCAAAATGAGAACAGAGGACTTAATCACACCTCTAACAAGCAATTGAAAAAATCATCAAACCCATAAGTTCGTGTGTGTCTAAGTAAGAACTAATTGGTGTTTAAAGAGTTCATAATCACATCAAACACTATTGTCAAAACATAGTATTTCAAGACTAATAAGACATCAAAAGCTATCTGCCTCAATGATTTTATTTTCGACTCCCACTTCTTTTTTTTTTTTTGTTTCTAAATGATTCATATGACTACCAACTAAAAATTAGCACGAAATTCATTTGCAGTTTGTGGAATAATACACTATATGCAATCAAATGAGCTATAGAAGCATCAACAAGGTAGTAATATAACTGAATGCAACAAACTTCAAAGAAAGAAACTCACGTGAAATCAAAAGATACACACAACATGAGTAGTAAAATGCCTTCCGGTGCACCGTAAAACCATCATTGCAGAGTGTTTCACTAAATGTTGAATCCGAAAAACCCCACAGTACTATCGAAGTAAGCAAATGAATCATTGACAATTCAAGGGGATTGAACCATATCTTGAATGTTACTCTGTGTTCAATGATTTAAAGCAATAATGCGTTACCATTCCTAATTATTCAGCTAACCAATCAATCTATGTTCCTAACAGAGAACAACAACTTAACAAGGTTAATTCATAATCAGGCATCAAAATCCCTAATTGAAAACCCCATCACCTAATCCACAAACCGATCTTAAAGGAGGTTCAATTAGAAAAATTACTCATAGTCTAAAATGCTGCAAATGAAGCATGTTTCTGAGATCCTACTCTGTGTTATTACCATTCCTAATTTTTGAGACAAATAGGTTTATCAATCTCCCTAATTTGAGATTGACACAAACCTTGGAAATTGGAAAGAGCTTAGTTCTAGAAACGAAATCACAGAAGGAATGCGAAGATCCAAGAAGCAATTGAAGAAGCTTTTACCTGTGAACGCGTCGCAGAGAGCAATGACGTATTTGAGAGAGAGAGAAAGAAAAATATAGAAATAATCGAACACCCACTCAGCCACGTGGACGTCTCTTAGCAATGTTTTTGCCTCTTAACTAAGAGACGTTCTTAGTTTTAATCGTAATTTTATATTTAATTTAATTCATCATTAATGCTAAGAATAAGCTAAGAAACTGCCCATAAGGATGGTCTAAGTCACTATATATAAGAGCATCTTTAACGGTGGTCTCTTAATACAAATCTTAGGAAATAAAGAATTGAAATTAAATGAGAAAAGAATGTTTATCTTAACAAACGTTGCTTAGCTAAGAAACAATTATTAACCTAAGAGGCGGACAGGTGTCATTCAACGTTGGGTGAAGGGTTTTTTTATGAAAGGAAAAAAATGTCTCTGTCTTTCTCTCTCTTCGTCGACTCTTTCTCTCATTTTCGTTTCTCTCCGATTGCACAAAGGGAATAGATTTCTCTCAAATCGGAATCAATCGGAGACAAATCGGAGGGGTTTATTCACCAATTTCATCAATTCATCGAAGTCTCCGATGGCAAAATCTATCCAATACGTCTCGGCGATTTCGAGTTGTGTAGGTTGTTGGAAGTCCCAATCGAAGGTTTACTCATCAAGTATGGCAGTTTTGTTCTTGTTTGCTTGAGTTGGCAGCTAGATTAGCATAGTTCTTGATGATCTATTGGATTTACTCATCAGGAATTTATCCAGTGATCGATATAATTTGGTATTTATGGTAGAATTGGCAGCTAGATTAATGTAGAATTTGTAGGACATATCTTGGCACTTCTTCTTGATGATCTATTTGGAACTTTCTGCTGGAAATGAAGCGTTGATATAGAGTATTGAGAAGATATCATATGTTTTTAATTGCGATTTTTCTGTACGTAGTGTGTTTGGTTTTAGTGAGGTGAAAGATTGTATTTAGATTTTGACTCTAGAAGATTCTGAGATAAATTGGTTGTGTAGAAATCTCTTGTGATATTTTTGGTTTGAATTGGCAGCTAGATTAGTTCTTGATGATCTATTGAGGTTTTTTTTGCTGGGACAAAATAAGAGTAGGACACACACACATAGACAAACACAAACCACACACTCGTGTTCTTATTATTTGTCTTGAAACCATAAATGAGAATTAGTCCTGAGGTTTATTCCCAAATCACGTGTTCGCTTCGCAATTGTGTGTTTAAGTATATATTTGCCGACAAGATTTCTGAATATGGTCTTGGAATTGTTGGTGGGTTTTGTTTGTATCTCTCTAGTACTTATGTTAATTGAGGTCAAAGCTTGATTTAGTTGACGTTATTTGCTTTTGTAAGGAAAGAGAGATTTGGGTTTGGTGTTAAAAATCGCATGAATGTTGGGGAGAGAACTAAGCCAAGTTCTGAATGTGCATAGAGAAGATATGATAATGACTCAGTTTCGCCAGGGCTATGAGTATTGCTAATAGGTCTTCTGCAACAAGTACTACTCAGCGGAGCGATGTTGTGTTTGACTTTCTATAATGTGTTCAATGTGTTTTTGCTGTAGAAGACACAAAATCTCTGTCTTGTATAAGCCAAGTATAAGCGGGTGAAGAGCCTGTATCATCATCACCTTTGTCATCTCCAGCTCTGTTGGGTAGTGGAAAAGAAGAAGAGCAGAAGATTATCCCAAAGCGTCAGAAAGTTCAGGTTGTCCTTAAGTTCATAAAGCAGGTGTCTAGAACAGTTTTACTTTTCAGATGATCTTGTTCTTACAATCTTTAAACAAGCCTTTGTCCAAGCGTTCATATTTTTTTCACACCAATTTCTTCTTCTCATACCAAATCCAAGTCTTGTTCTTTTTTTTTTTTACTAAAAATAATCCTAAAAAATTCTACTTCAAACAAAAAAATCCAATTAAGAAAATGGTATCATCTTCCAATGATAAATTCGATGAATCGTTGGACGAAGAATTTAATAATATTTTCGAGCAAGAATTGGATAGTTCTTGTACTCTTACGGTGATCGTCAACAAGCCACAAAACCGAAAAAAAAAGAGTCCATATATGGATAAAATATTCCATAAATTGAGTTTAAAACATTTGTGTTTTATGTTATTTATGTTATAAATTGTATCTCATGTATGTTTTAATTTTTCTAATTTACAACAATTATTAAATTTTCTATAATTATAAATTTTATTTTTATATTAATATTTATTTTTCTAAGAACCACATGTTAAGAGCCTACCATTAATTACACAAAAATCTTAACTCAAAAATACTATCTCTTAACAATCACTTTTACAAATAAATTATTTAAATATTGCTAAGATTAATTTCTAAGAGACCACCTATAATAATGCTCTAAGTCTCTAAGCAACAGCCGTGAGACGTTCTCTCTCAGGCACGAAGACCAAGGAGCCACTGCCATCGACGAAATGAGCCCCTTCCACCATCCTTCCTCCACCGGCAAGCTTCTTTGGTGATAGGTGACTTTTTTAAGGCTAGATCTCTCAGGTGGGCTTTCCTTTCCGGTGACATTGCTGTTTTTCCGGTCGAATTTTCTACTTGAGATGATTTCCTTCTCTCTGTTGATGTCGAGCCACTCTCGTTGTTTCCCGAAGTATTCGGTCCTTTTCCTCGACATGAGGCCTTCCCCAGCACCACCACCGGATCCTCCGTCTCCACCGACGCCGCCGGAGCCACCGGACCCGCCGGATCCACAGATCCGCCCCTCTTCCGGTGAAGATTTTACTCAGCCGCCGCTCCTTCCACACTTCACCGGTCTTCCACGTGTTCACAGAGAATCCGAACTTCCATCTCCGCCACCCTCGAGACATGTTCCTCCGATCATCACCGCGCTTGTACCTCCTCGTTCAAGCCGCTGCGTGCCCATCACCACACGTTCCCCAAAAGTTGAATCTAGGGTTTCTTTTTTTGGGCCAAAATTGTGTGATTTGCTTAGTGGGCCTAGAATGGAGGGTTTGTTTATTGGGCCATAAGTGGAGGGTTTTCTTATTGGGTCTTTTCAGCCCAACACCTAACCCACTCTTTTACCCCTATCAAGCCTTCCTTTGTCTCATATCCCGTGACCTGATTTGCTTCCAGCCACGGCTCATCCAACCACGCCTCTTCTCCGGCTCAGTCGCCATCCCTCCTCTCCCATTCCCCCAGGTATGCTCCGCTTCTTCGCTCCCTGATTCTTTTATTTGGAGAAATTATTGGATGGTCGTTGAGAGTGTAGTTCTGGCTTTGTGGAATTCGGGTATAGTTCTTATTCCTACTATGTTTTTGGATCCCCCTGGATCCACATTTGTGCTCTCTCGTGGCACCCTTATCGCCTTAGTGCGATCCTTTACTGCAATATGCAGATCCTACTTCGAATTGGCTCTGTTAGAAGCCGCTTTCGGGCAGATTGGACAGAGATCTTTGATCTCTTTCACCGTTCCAGTTCTTCTGGTTCACCGGGGCTTTCATAGCCCTCATCCCTCCTTTATGGAGCTTTTTATCCTCCCAAATACTTCACTTGTGTTTAGTGGTATCGTTACAGGGAGCATTATCGTCAAGACTGTTCTGCTTAGAGCAGAAGCGAGGGTTGTTGTTCAAGATAGTTCCCGTTCAGCATTTGTTGACTGTTTGACTTTGGAGGCGTTGTTTCCTCCTCCTTGTGGTTTCGGCAAGGACTTCAGATTTAAAGATGATTACTTTATCGATTGCCCTTGTTTAGATTCTGCTTTGGTAGAACTCATGAGTTCACCCCTATCCTTAGATCTCTATTTGAGCTTTGTTGCTAGTTTTAGCTTTCTCTCTTTCACGATCCCTTTGTTGGTCGTTGCGTTGCTTGCCGAATCTGTTTGATTCGGCAAAAAAAAATATAAGTCTCTAAGCAAATCTTTGACGGTTCCCTTAGGCTGTGGATGATTCTAAAGGTCATTGTTTGTGATGCAAAACAGCATTTACTTAAAAACGACATGAAATCTGTTTGTTCTTTCCTCCATCTCTGCCGTGGCTATATTGTCGCTTCAGCTTCATAATTATTTGACAGATAAATGTGTCCTTTATTGATGGTTTAGAGCAACTCCAATGGTAGGTTTCTTTATTAGATCTTACCAATTTTTTAATCTTAAAATTTAGAGATTTAAAAGTTAAGACAAGATGAGAAGGTCTTAACAAATTCTTTGTCCAATGGTAAGATATCCATGAAGAGGTCTTAATTTTTTTTTTGTTTTTGAAAATAAAGTTTGGTTTGGTTTTTGAAAGTAGAGAGATTCATGTGTTACCATATGTTATCATGTATGTTATTATGTGTTAAATGGGACAAAGAGAGATTCATGTGTTATCACATAATTTGATTTGTTAAATGCAAAAGGGAGATAACACATATTTTGATGTGATTCAAAATGTTTTCAAATGCAAAACATAGATTCAAATGCAATCTTCATCTTCAAGATATTGAAATCTCCAAATCAGATATTCAGACATAAATCAGATTTTAAAAAAGAGATCAAAGCCTTGGATACGAGGGAGGGAGCTGAAGCTGATGCTAAGGGATGATAAAATAGGATTTAATTAATTACTTAATTTTTGTATGCTTTCTTTTTTGTTTGCGTTTCCTTTTTAATATGATTCTAAAGGCCATTACTTTGTTGAATGTTTCAGTCATCCACTTCTCCATAATTAGCTGGTAGTATATTTAAGTTTGAAACATGATATGGTTTGGGTACATACTCTTTACGTAGGATTTGAATAATGAAAACAAGGTCTATAGAATATATGTATAGAGCTGGCTTACACTTGGGCTCTGAAAGCCCTTAAATGATCGGATGATGTCGACAATCCAGACATCATATAAGTCTAAGCCCGTTCACGAATCATTTTATCCAACAAAATTCACGACATTGGAAACATACAGCAATTCGGAGATAATTAAGAAAAACAAAAAAAAAAGTGAACAAATCTCTTTCAAAAAGTACTCATTGGAAAGATTTGTTTATAATGATTAATGAGTAGTACTTTTTGACTGAGATTTGTCTATAATGATTTGTAATGTTTTTAACGAAACAATGTAACACACTAAAAATTAAAATTATTTTGACATCAAACATCATGAATTAATGGATAAGACATTATGGCTGGCGATTGAATTATAAAAATTTGTAAGAGTTCCCCAACTTAGTAAGGAAAAAACATGTTGAGAACATGAACAGGTGTCAAACTATAAGCAATAAGTTACAGGTAGATACAACAGAGATGGACCCTTTGGGATTGTGACTAGAAAACAAAAATGACTCTTGTTTCATTGCGTCTCGTGAATCCTCCTCTCTTCCACAAAATTTCTGCTACCTATTAGCTTTTTGAGGTTCTCTTCTTTTCTTTTTTTCCCTCCTTGGTAAAATAGTACGACGACACTTTGACTTTTTAAAACCATTCAAAACTTATCATATTTCGTAAATCTTGTGAAATCTAAGAAAAGTTATGCACAAAAGGGCACAAACGTTTGTATTAGCATTTCTTTTTTTTGGTAAAGAGATCTTATACATAATTTGTATATGTTTTATGGTTATCATTCAGATAAGTAATTTGAAGGCATATTCTACCAAACGAAACAGTTTTAGTTACTTAATTAGATATGAATACTTTACAATGGACACAACTTATGTGATTGTATAATAGACTAGTCATTATTTTATAAATGGAAAAGCATGAGGCGTAAGAAGGCATGTGAGACAGAGTTTCTATTATGTCCTTTGTGTGTTATGACAAACAAATGGGTTGTGGTCAATTTTACAGGGGTCACGGATCTTATTTCTCCAACATATACTTCCAAACCATTTATAAATGTTCATTTAATTTTTCTTCACGCATCCTAACAATCCTTGCAATTTTAAAATTTAGTATGCTTTAATCAACTATTATAACTATGTAATTAGTAATAATCTGTTCTGTGGATAGTGTCAAAGGCATCAAATGACAAATTTATTATATATACTCCATCCAATCCTTAAAGATGTATCAAATGTACTATGCATCAAACAAAATTGTATAGTACATTCAAGTCGAAAAAAGTGTTTGATCTTATGTTGCCAAAGTTTCAAGTGGTCTTAAACATTAATTAGTTCTTCGGGAATTGGCTACCATCGAATATTTCTAAACACCAATTTATTTTCAAATTTAATTAGTATATATTTAGTAGTTCTGAATACATTATTCATAAAATATTTGATATTTTAACCCAATTAACTTTTTAAAAATCTGTTTTTCTTTTTTAAAATAATTGTGTTGGACGCATAATCTACACGATTGCTTGAAAAATTAAACGACCGATTTTTTAAGTGTTCTTATTAGTAAATAGACTCGTAAATCTTAGAATTCTCACATATAAACTATAAATTAGTACATATTACTGTAAGACTAAAACTTAAAATTAATATATAAGAACATAAATTAAATTAATTCCCTTGTTATAATTGGTTTTGACTTTGAATCTCTGATCATCATGTTAACGAAGATTTTCTCATAATTATTCATAAACATCTACGGTTGGTGTGTCATATATGAATAAATCACATGTATACGAATCTACGTTTGGTGGACCAAACACTATAGTTTATAGTTTATAATCCCGGACTTGGAAAACAGTAGTGACACACATACACACACTGACGACGAAAAAAAAAAACACACACACACACACACTGATACACGAATATACACATACCGACATACGCTCATATAACATCTATATTATCTATATTCGAAAATGGATACAAAAAGATAAATGTATGCGCTCAATTATACATGTTGCAACATATTGAATTAGCTATATAGCATGTCGGGCATTAACATATAACGTCAGTGTTATAGTGGTGGGTTTCCAGCGCATGCATACATTAGCCACTATATACCTTTATTTATGTAACACCATTAGCCGCTATTAGATATCAATAATGTGCTTTATTCATCACTTTAGAAAGTCAGGATATAGATTTGATCATATTACTTATTTGTAACATGCATGTATATTAAACCTAATTACTGAAAGTGAAAAATGCTTATATAAAAGTGTCTCATTTAGGTTATAAATGGTAATTTGCGTTTTAAACCAATCCATTGCAGTTTTAAGACGTTTATAATTTTATTTTTCTTGCATTATTTAAAATCCTTTGCCCAGATTCTTCTGATTGTTTTTTCTATACTTTTATCACCACTTAAATTAACTACACAACGACAACAAACTTATTTTGTCTACCACTAAATTTTAAATTCAAATAAAGTCAACTAATTTCTTGTTTTTTTCGATCAGAAAGCTAAAAGCAGCTCATACAATTTTGTACCTTCATATATAATGATGTTCTAATTTGTTTGAAACCTTCTAAAACGATTTATAGTAAAAGTACAAATATATATAAGAAATAATAGACTACTAATTCTTTTTACACACACTTGATTCTTTTCGTAATTTCGACAAACAAAAAGCGTTAACAACTACATAATATCACTATTTCATTACAGCCAATAACAAATAGGCTTATCTTATTATATCTCTATCATGCACGCGTGAGAACCAAAAACATTTAAACAATAATTTCTTTTTCGAGTTTAAAAAAAAAAAAAAGAAGAAGAATTAATATTTGGTGATTAATTGATAGAATGCTCAATGGATCGCCTTATCAACACATCGATTAACTAGAGCCAACGCATTACTAGTCATCTTTTTGACGTCATCGACCCGTGCGCATATGTCATCCTTCCTCGGCTCATCGTGAATGTCTTTAAACCCGTCCGTACAAGTCTCTTCATCGGTTAAAGCCGCACTGAGCCACGTCTGCACGTTACTCATTTGGAACCTGAAGGACTCGAGCGAGCCAGTCGAGACCAGCTCCCTCATCTGTTTCATCGAGCCTCTCATTTCTTCGACCGCATCTTTAAGATTGTCGAAGCAGTCATGAAAAACAGCGGCTGCGGTTGGGTGGTGGGCACCATCTTCGTTGCTCTCCGGCTGGAGAGTGGTGACGTTGGCGAGGTATGAGGCTAAGTCGAGAGTCTTGGTGAGAGTGACGGAGATGGCGGCTCGAGCCAAGAGGGCTGGATCGTTGTGGACAGAGCTAGAGAAGGAAGAAAGAGAGGAGAAGCATAGGTCAGGGTATAATGTGGTGTTGCAGCTAGTACGGATGAAATCTGAGTCGTCTGATTGAGGATGGACGGTCAGGATTAATGGGAGGACGGTGGCTAAGAAGAAGAAGAGAAGTGGTTGATGAAGAGAAGGTTTCATGGTTTCTTCTGTTCTATGTGTGTTGGTTTCTTGTGACACGGAAGAGACTCTTTTTGGGTTATGGATGGTTTTGGACTTTTGGTATTTGTGACCTCAAGTTTATATTTATATATATAGAAAGCATATACATTAGGATTAATCCAAACAACTAACAATTTTAATGTGTCGAGGAAAATGTTGGACCGTTAATAGGCCGATCTGGGCCGGAATATTGTATACAAATACTCGGTGAAATAATAATGCAAACTCTTTATAATCTACATGCCTATGAATAAAAAAGAATAAAGGACCCTAATTAAGAAGAATACACGAAGCTTTCTGACTAAAACCCTAAACGTGAATATAGCACGGGAATCATGTCATCCACGGATCTGAAACCGGAATCCAAATCTGAAAGTAACCAAGTCCCGTCCAAGGAAGTGGGAGATCGATTACAAGTGTTCATGAAAAAAGGTGGTTGCGAAAATTCATATACAGCTTGTGTAGGTTGTGATTAGCGGGAAGATGAGTGTACGGAAGCCTATTCAATGTTGGAAAAGTGTATGAAAGCTCGCTTTGATTACTTTGAGACGTATCTCGCGCTGAAGAACGCTAGTGCTGAAGTGATGGCGAGGGAGATCGAAGTCTTCCTCCATGCGAAACCAAAGGACAGAGGCGAGCTGTTAGGCAAATTCATGACAAGAGGTGATTGCAAAGAAGCTTTTATGGCTTGGATGGATAGTTACGAAGAAGCCAAGAAGAACAAGGGAAGTCTTTATACACCTGCCTCAAACACCTTGTTGAAGTGTATAGAGGCTCACTCTGATTACTATCAGCCGCTTCTCACAGTGGTCAAAAATTATAAAGAACATTATAGTAAGGAGCGTATCGCCTTCTTGGATGCGTGGGAGCAAGCTCAAGCTGAGGCTGAGGGATGATTTGAATATGATTTACATAATATTTTAATGCTTTTTTCTTTGTTTACGTTTCCTTTTGCATGAATACTCTGCTTCTTCTTCATTACTTTGTTGTTTCACTCATCGTCTTTATTATTGTCTTTTTTATAGTGATGCAAAACAACATGGCATTTAACTAAAAACTACACAAAATCCCTATCTATACACAACGGATTTTAAGATTTTAGGTTAACATCTTCAATTCGGATCAATGTATTCATCATATTTCCCTATATATGTACAACAACACATTCACGGAAATCTCACTATATAAGTCTCTAAGCAAATCTTTGGTGGTTCTCTAATTAAGGCTGCCGCTGGGGCGGTTTCCGAGAAATATCTAGCGGTGTGGTTCGCTAAATTCAGCAAGCAAGAAAGTAGTGGTGGAGGAGGTTGCCGCCGAAGATTATTCATGTTTTCCTACGAGAACGAGAAGTTCCCTTCTTGGATTCCTCTTCCGACGGTAAACTTCTGGAAGAATCGGAGTCTATTGTGTTGGCTAAAGACTGTTCGGGTCATTATACAAGCATTCAACAAGCAGTAAATGCAGCTGCCAAACCTCCTCCAAGAAACAAGAGAGAGAGTTGTAATATAAGTAAAAGGAACGTGATGGTTAATTATAATGTGGTATTGCAGCTCGTGAGGATGAAATCTGAGTCGTCTGATTGAGAATGGACGGTCAGGATTAATGGGAGGACGGTGGCTAAGAAGGAGAAGAGAAGTGGTTGATGAAGAGAAGGTTCCATGGTTTCTTCTGTTCTATGTGTGTTGGTTTTTTGTGACACGGAAGTGACTCTTTTTGGGTTATGGATGGTTTTGGTGTTTGTGACCTCAAGTTTATATTTATATATAGAGAAAGCATATACATTAGGAGGGATTAATCTAAACAACTAACGATTTTAATGCTAGGAAAATGTTGGACCGTTAATGGGCCGATCTGGGCCGGAATACTGTATACAAATACTTGGTGAAATAATAATGCAAACTCTTTATAATCTACATGATTTTTTCGTAAAATACTAGAAGTGTACTCTACGATGGATTAATGCATATGTAAGAAAAATAAAAAGAATTTAAAATTATATTTTACTAAATTTTCTTACATATATATACATATATATTTTATTGATAAGTTTGTATAATTATTAATTTATGATACTAACGAGATCATATAGTTACATAGGATTTTTAAATAAATTATTATTTTATTATTTTATGTTAAATTTTATACTGGTCTGACTAGAGACCAAAAATTTTTATTAATTTATAATGATTATTAATTTATCAAATATTAATTTATAGAGATTTTTTTTTGTACAAACTATTCACAAGTTAAACTTCAATCAATGTACAATTGTGCTCACTTATTTTATTCATCTAATATATTTGGATTAATATAATTGTTAAATCATGTTCACAATCACCGTAAATCTATTATCTTAGATTTAACTTTAGTGAAATATGCATATAGATAATAACATATTTTAATTAATTTTTAATATTTAAATTTGTTATGTTGTATTGTAGATTTCTTTTTGCGAATTGAAGAATTTATTTTATACGACACAAAATTTATTAATAAATTCACTTCCGACCTTCATTACTCTAGGCGCGGTTCTGCCTCGGTGAAACATCGTAGACCACTTCTTTGGTAAATTCCTTTAAAACCTCTAATCCTTTCTCCATGGTTTATTTTTTGGGTTTCAACTTTTGGGTCATGGACGCTATCTTCTTTGCAGCTTGTTTCATGATCGGAAAACGCAAATTTGATATCGCCTGTAAAATAACAGAAAAGATTCTTGAGACTAGAGAAGGAGAAGAAGACTGACAGCAAAAAATATGAATCTTTATAGAAAATATGAGATTCACTTGCACACAGCAAAATGGACATTTTTTAAAAATGTTATGGCCCATTATTTCCCACCTTCGTGGAATTAATAAAATACTATTTTATTACTATACAATATTTTTGCATGTAGACAACAATGTATACTAAATAGTCAACTTATTTCTTGTTTTTTTCGATCACAAAGCTAATAGCAGTTCATACAATTTTGTATCTTCGTAATGATGTTCTAATTTGTTTGAAACCTTCTAAAACGATTTTTTGTAAAAGGACAAATAAATATAAGAAATAATAGACAATTTTAATGGTTGGGGAAAATGTTGAACCGTAAACCATTCGCTTAATGGGCCGATCTGGGCCAGAATATTGTATACAAATATTGCAAACTCTTTATCGTCTATATACCTTATGAATAAAGAACCCTAATGAAGAAGATTACCCGAAACTTTTTGACTAAAACCCTAAACGTGAATATATCATGGGATCCATGTCATCTACGGATCTGAAACAGGAATCCAAATCTGAAAATAACCAAGTCCCAACCAAGGAAGTGGGAGATCGATTACAAGAGTTTATGAAAAAAGGTGGTTGCGAAAATTCATATATAGCTTGTGTAGGTTGTGATTCGCGGGAAGATGAGTGTACGGAAGCCTATTCAATGCTGGAAAAGTGTATGAAGGCTCGCTCTGATTACTTTGAGACGTATCTCGCGCTGAAGAACGCTAGTGCTGAAGTGATGGCTAGGGAGATCGAAGTCTTCCTCCATGCGAAACCAAATGACAGAGACGAGTTGTTAGGCAAATTCATTACAAGAGGTGGTTGCAAAGAAGCTTTTATGGCTTGGAGGGATAGTTACGAAGAAGCCAAGAAGAACAAGGGAAGTCTTTATACACCTGCCTTGAACACCTTGTCAAAGTGTATGGAAGCTCACTCTGATTACTATCAGCCGCTTCTCGCAGTGGTTAAAAATTATGAAGAACACTATAGTAAGGAGCGTATTGCCTTCTTGAATGCGTGGGAGCAAGCTGAAGATGAGGCTAAGGGATGATTTGAATAGGATGTAGTAATATCTTAATGCTTTTTTCCTTTGTTTACGTTTCCTTTTGCATGAATACTCTTCTTTTTTTTTTAATATGATCTCCAAGGTTAGGTTCTCCCTCTCCCTAGTCTCTTTTCTTAATTTTCTTTAGACTCAGTATTGTATTTTATTTGCAACTCTGGATCATAATAAGAAAGATTACATGTAAAATTTCAATAAAAGGAGGATTATATCATATAAAATTTGTGTAAATAACTGGAGAAATTTGTTATATATATATATATATATGTTCGACCATGTTATATAGCACATTCAAAAGTAATTTGAATTTCACATCATGTATATTACATAAAACTAAACAATCCGATTTGAAGTTAGAATTAGGCACATGTTGGTTCAAAAACATGAATAGCCAAAAAAAAAAAAAAAAAAAAAAACATGAATAGCCAATGACTTCAATTTCAATATCACCAAAAAGTTTATGAAATTTGCTATAATACTGAGACATTAAAAAGGAAAAAAGTTGCTATAAAATCGAACAAAAATTTAATTCTATTAGTTTACTTGTCATGGATACGGCCGTAGGGAAATAATCTTTACGTAACTCCTAAAAAGCCTGAATTATTGGGATACCAAAATCTAAAAATCACACGTCAATCAAGGGTATTTACTCCAACATGGAACTTAATCCAATCCATGAAATCCACGTGGCGACTTTCCATTGGTCGCTGTTTCTTTTTTCTTCCTTCGAGTATAAAAACATATCCCACCACGCTCCTCAATACAAACGAAAACAGAGCCAAAGTGAGAAATATAAAATGGCGGGAAACTCCCTAATCGCTCCGGCGATTATGCTCGCGTTGCTTCTCCTTATTTCACCGGAGATCTACGCCGGTCATGACTACCGCGACGCTCTCCGCAAGAGCATCCTTTTCTTCGAAGGTCAACGCTCCGGTAAGCTTCCACCAGATCAACGCCTTAAATGGCGCCGTGACTCCGCCTTACGCGACGGTTCCTCCGCCGGCGTGGATTTAACGGGAGGCTACTACGACGCTGGAGATAACGTAAAATTCGGATTTCCGATGGCGTTCACGACGACAATGATGTCATGGAGCGTCATAGATTTCGGTAAAACAATGGGACCGGAGCTTGAAAACGCCGTGAAAGCTATCAAATGGGGAACAGATTATCTCATGAAAGCGACTCAGATTCCCGGCGTCGTCTTTGTCCAAGTCGGAGACGCTTACTCCGACCACAATTGTTGGGAACGTCCCGAGGACATGGACACGCTTCGAACGGTTTATAAAATCGATAAAGACCATCCTGGTTCCGAAGTCGCCGGAGAAACCGCAGCCGCACTAGCCGCCGCATCGATCGTGTTTGAAAAACGCGATCCGATATACTCCAAAATGCTCCTCGACCGAGCAACAAGGGTACTTTACTACTTTCTTTACTTTAACGTTTTTTTTATTTCGTCTTTTTTTTGTTATGATAGGGAAAAATAATCGTGATTTGTCAAAAAGTGTTAGCAATTGGTTATATACTTTGCTTGTGTGATAAATATTCTCTTTATTTGTTTCTTATAATGTTTGTTTCCGTACATTTTTGACCTACATGCATTAGACCTACTATGAAGTATGAACTACTTGGTTTTTGTAGAAACGTACTAACCATTTCACACCATTTAATTAAAGAACTTTTGACTTGTGTATTTTTGACATATACGAACATAAACTAATTTTGAATAAATGTATATTCGCAGGTGTTTGCGTTCGCCCAAAAGTACCGAGGAGCGTACAGTGATAGTCTTTACCAAGTAGTGTGTCCTTTTTACTGCGATTTCAACGGTTATGAGGTAACTAAAGATTTTACCACAATTTGATATTTCTTTCACAAACGTTTGTTGATGAAATTGTTGCGTGTAGGATGAGTTGCTTTGGGGAGCGGCTTGGCTACACAAAGCGTCGAAGAAACGAGTGTATAGAGAGTTCATTGTGAAGAACCAAGTTATTCTAAGAGCTGGAGATACGATCCACGAGTTTGGTTGGGATAATAAACATGCTGGGATTAATGTCTTAATCTCCAAAATGGTACTAATGGGAAAAGCAGATTATTTTCAGAGTTTTAAGCGAAACGCTGATGAGTTTATCTGTTCTTTATTGCCTGGAATTTCTCACCCTCAAGTCCAATACTCACAAGGAGGATTATTAGTGAAGAGTGGAGGAAGTAATATGCAGCATGTAACATCTTTGTCGTTTTTGTTACTAACATACTCTAATTACCTAAGTCACGCCAATAAGGTGGTGCCATGTGGCGAATTCATAGCTTCTCCTACTCTTCTCCGTCAAGTCGCCAAGCGTCAGGTAACTAAACTAAACTAACATTCCTCTGTTTTTAGCATCGTGACATTTATTAATCTTAAGTGTTAATGTTGTTTGGTGACGTACGTTAACATAGGTGGACTACTTACTAGGAGATAATCCGATGAAAATGTCGTACATGGTTGGGTATGGTTCGAGGTTTCCGCAGATGATTCACCATCGTGGCAGCTCGGTTCCTTCAGTCGTGGACCATCCTGGTCGTATAGGGTGCAAAGACGGTTCTCGTTACTTCCTCAGCAATAATCCTAATCCTAATTTGCTAATTGGCGCCGTCGTTGGTGGGCCTAATATCACTGACGATTTTCCTGATTCGAGACCTTACTTTCAGCTGACTGAGCCCACGACTTATATCAACGCACCTCTTTTGGGCCTTCTTGGTTACTTCTCGGCCCATTCGTGATTTCACAACTCGAAGCATGAAAGTCTATTTTTGTTGTGAAATATTTTACTTGATTGTTACCGAAAAATCAATTTGCTAACGAATTAATTAGTTGGTCATTTACTCGAGTAATTAATAACAATCATCAAATTTTAATCATATGGGAGTTAGGGAATACAAGAGTAATAATGGGAGTAAGAAGGAGACAAGAGTAATTAATATTTTTATGACCAAAAATAATCAAAATTAGGAATTTGTCTTTAGGACTTTGGTCGGCTGCTTTCCGCTTAACACAAGAACAAGAACGCTATTTTGTCTCCTCCACGCAATTACCTCTTCTTCTCTCAGACATTTCGTCAAACAGATGGTGCTCGTTCTGAAACAGCTTACGAACTAACAAGGAGACAGACACTAAGCTTGGTTATCTCCGATTAGAAGGGGGAAAAAGCGAAAACGAGGGCTTGAGACGAGTGATGTGATAGAGATGGAAGGAGTTGAGCTAGAACTAGAGAGAAGAAGCAAGTTCTTGAACAGTTTGATACAGAAGAAGAAGGCTAAAGAACAGCAAGATCAGAAAGATGAGTTCAATGTTCGAGTTAGGGCTTCAGATATGCCTTTGGTTCAACAGAACAGAGCCTTTAGTTTGTCGCGTGAGATTTTGAATGCTACTCCTGGGAAAGCTGACAACAAAAGACTCGCTCTTACCCTAAAAAAGGTTAGATCTTTTGTATTTCTCTTCTGATTTCTCTGTATCTGGGTTGAAATGGAGTCGTTGAAGTTTAGTACTGTGGAGTGAGTTTTGAATTTTGACACAGAATCTAAGTATTGAGCTGGTTTTGGGTTCTAAGGCTACGTCTCAAAGTCGCATGCTTTATGTAGAATGTGATTATTGTCGATCTCGTTCTTGATTTTGTTTGAAGATGTGTAGTTATGTGATGAATCTTGAATTTGGATTTCATTTTGTGTACTTGCATTTTGTTGAAATTCATAGATGGTCCCATAGTTTGTTCCATTGTTGTTGTCTTTTCTATTTGTAGCTTCAGTTAGTCTACTTGACTAGGTCATTTTTGTATTGAGAGGATAACTTTAGTATGAGTCTCTTTGTGAAATGTCTTGAAACTGGATGTTCTTGTTGCATTGAGATGAAATTGGAGCTATGTCTTATTAGATCTAGCATGCACCATCTGCTAAGCTTCTGTATCTTTGCTGTTAGAGTTAGATGCTACCTAATGATAACTCTGAAGCATGTTTGTCGTAGGATTGAGCCTTGCCCAAATATATAAAGGACTCGGTTGTCTTATGATAAAACCGGTTTGGCGTTACTACTACCCCATATCTAGAGTTGTCCATTTATGCAGTTTTTGCTGTGTACTGTGTTTATGGCTATGTGTTTGATGAATAACACATTAACACTTTTAAAATGTGAGGATGTTATTCCTTCTTAGAGGGTTTTGATGATTAGCTTTTTAATTTTCACATATGGAGCGAAATGGAGCACTTTTTAGTTTGTGAGTCCCTCAATTTCTCATATTCGAATAGGCAGAGGCATTGATTGATTCATACACTGGTTTTATGAAGTGGTTGAGTAAGTAAAACAATATAATGTTTCACTTATCTGTGTGCAGCTTACTTTTTGTCTCAGTGTTCATCAATCTCTTAATAATGGCTATCTCTTTTATGATTGATATGAGTCAGCTTCTGCTGTTTTGCGTTGTTTAATCTCGGAATAGACCTTCATATGTTTCTTATACTGAAGTGAATCTCACTGTCCCATTTGTCTAACGCATGTTGCAGCTGATTTAAAACTATACTCATCAAACAGTTTCCCGTCTGTCTTTCATTTCAGACGAGTGATGTGATAGAGATGGAAGGAGTTGAGCTAGAATGAGAGAGAAGAAGCAAGTTCTTGAACAGTTTGATACAGAAGAAGAAGGCTAAAGAACAGCAAGATCAGAAAGATGAGGTCAATGTTCGAGTTAGAGCCAGATATGCCTTTGCCTCTACAGAACAGAGCCTTTAGTTTGTCGCATGAGATTTTGAATGCTACTCCTGGGAAGGCTGACAACAAAAGACTCGCTCTTGCCCTAAAAAAGGTTAGATCCTTTGTGTCTCTCTCATGATTTCTCTGTCTCTGGGTTGAAATGGAGTCATTGAAGTCTAGCACTGTGGAGTGAGTTTTGAAATTTGACACAGAGTCAAAGTAGTGAGCTGATTTTGGGTTCTAGGGCTACGTCTCAAAGTCGCATGCTTTATGTAGAATGTGGTTGTTGTTTTCTCGTTCTTGATTGGTTTGAAGATGTGTAGTTATGTGATGAATCTTGAATTTGGATTTCATTTTGTGTACTTGCATTTTGTTGAAATTCATAGATGGTACCATATTTGCTTTGGCTTTCATTTGGTTGCATTTGACTTTGTTCCATTGTTGTCTACTTGACTTGTTTTTTTTTGTGTTGTGAGGACAAGTTTATAGTATGAGTGTCTTTGTGATGAGTCTTGAAACTGGATGTTCTTGTTGCTTATTGAGATGATTTTGGAGCTGACTTAGACCATGACTTATGAGACCTAGCATGCACCATCTTACTAAGCTTCTGTATATGTACTGTTAGAGTTAGATGCTACCTAATTATAACTCTGAAGCATGTTTGCCGTAGGATTTGAGCCTTGCCCAAATACAATCTTCTATAAAGGACTCGGTTGTGTTTTCTGATAAACAGGTTTGGCATTACTACCCCAAATATAGAGTTTTCCATTTATGCATTTTTTTTTTTTTTTTTGCAGAGTGTAGATGGCTCAGTGTTTGATGAACAAATTTTAAACTGTGAGGATATTATTCCTTCTGTGAGGGCTTTGATGATTAGCTTTTGATTTTAACATATGGAGCGGCATGGAGCACTTTTTGATGCTAAGAATTTGCGAATCCCTCAATTTATCATATTCGAGTAGGTAGAGGCATTGATTGACTCATACATTGGTTTTATGAAGTAGTTGAGTAAAACAATATAGTGTTCACTTATCTATGTGCACCTTATCTTTTTTGTCTCATTGTTTCAGCTGTTTAACTTGTTTTATCTTCTTGTTCTGGTATTTGATCTCCTATCTCGATATAGATCTTCATCTGTTTCTATTGATCTTAAGTCTTAAAGGCCTCTTGTACCGTCATAGTTATACTTAAACACAAGTGAAGTATCTATTACTCTGGCATGATCCATCTTCAATACTAAGATCAATCATAAATAAGTATGGTTCTGAAACTTTTTTCAAAAAAACTAGGAGCAACTTAACCATTTTTACTAACCTTTTTTAGATCATGGTTCAAACTTTGACCTACCAAAATTGCAATTTTTTTATGCTTCAAACAACTGTTTATCAGAAAATTGCAATTTTTTTAGATCATGGTTCAAACAATCAATATAGGATTGCAATTTTTTTATGCTTCTTGATGAGAAAATAGAAACAAGAGAACTAACTAACCTCCATGCGAAATAGACTAGTTGGTACCACGATTCCTGCACCAACTGAGCTTCTGAACGTCTCCAACAACTTTGGAGCAGTGAAGTTCCTATACTTGTTCTCTGACAGTTCTGCCATATTCCCGGCACATGCAAACACATGTCCATGGATTCCTCTGTCTCTGAACCATTTTAGGGGAAGATCAAAAGAGAGGTCTGCAAACGCAGTGACCGCAACATCCCCTCCCACAAAATCCCGTTCGGATGTGTCACCGATCTCATCGTCTTGTACTTCCCTCCTTGGCTCGTTAGGACCCAATCCCCTAGTCTTGAATCCCCATAACGCAGATGGTCCTCCCAGAGAACACAGAGGTGACATGTTTCCACCTAAGAAGAACCTCTCAGGTACACAAGAAGCTCTGCTCTTGTACCCGCTTCCCCATGGAAATGTGATTCCCGCAGTGATGTAGCGTTATCCTTATTACTTCTAGCGCAAGACATGAGCTTTCTTACTTCTTTCCTTTCTTCTTTGAGTTTTACTTTTCTGAGTTGATTTCCATTTCTTTGATAAACTTTACTTTACTTTTCGATTAGGGTTTTGATAATGCTAAGGTCGGTTGTGACTTGGCTTATATAAGGATATGTAATGTCTCTTTAGAGACTCAATTTTTATTGAATAAGAAAAGAGGTTTCCCTCAAAATTGAAGTCTTCGAATTCTCTCTGTTTTACAAAGAATTCAGAGCATAAAACCTTGTTTCAAGATCCATTGATCCTTGAAACCTTGTTTTGCTATCTTACCGCTGCATTAGTTGGTATCAGAGACAAACAGTTCCTAATCATGCCTCCTAAGAAGAGTCTTCAACAGCAACTCGATGAACACAACACGGCGTTTCGTGCAACGTTGGCAGAGTTTCAACAAGAGATGACTGATACGATGCGTACCTCTATTGAGACTGCAGTACGTGCGTTGGGTCAAGCACAAAATCCAAATAGGGTGAATCGACGTCTTGAAGAACAGATCTTTGAAGAGGATGAAGAAGATGAAGTTTTTGAAAATCAATTTGCGCCGCTGGGTGAGCACCATCTGCGTCACGATAACCGCAATCGTGACATTATTGCAGCTCCACAAGTTGAGAATCGTCGATGGGAGTCAGGCTTCAAGCTTGATTTGCCGGAGTTCAACGGTGGTCTGCAGCCCGAGGAGTTTTTAGATTGGATCAATACGATAGAAGAGTTGTTGGAATTCAAAGAAGTCCCCGATTTGAGGCGTGTACCACTTGTAGCTACACGTTTTCGTGGTCGTGCGTCAGCTTGGTGGCAACAATTAAAGGAAGCTCGAGCAAGAGCAGGGAAAGAAAAGATAACTTCGTGGGAAAAGATGAAAAAATTGATGAGGAAAGCCTTTTTGCCTTACAACTACACACGTACAATGTACACAAAGTTGCAGAATCTAAGGCAAGGAACCAAATCAGTAGATGAATACGCCTCAGATTTTTTTTCTTTGATGGCACGAAATTTATTAACAGAGAATGAGGAACAGCGAGTCTCACGTTTCATTGGCGGATTGAGGTCTCAAATTCAGAGTCCGCTGCTCCAATTCGACCCTCTTTCAGTTTCTGAAGCTCATCAGAGAGCCCTCTTGATCGAACAACACTCACGTGGTCAAACAAGCTCTTGGACTTCTCAACGAGCGCGTCTTTCACCAGCAGCTGAAACAGGGCTTAGTAAAGCGTTAGAGCAAACAAAAACAATAGAAGTTGTGGAAGGTAATGAATCTATGGGTCGGCAACGACCTGTAACTTTTAAGTGTTTTAAGTGTGGGGAAACAGGGCATCGACAGTCTTCATGTCCCAATTTACAACGTCGTGGTCTATTAGCAAAGGAGGAACCTGTGTTTGATGATTACGGTGATGATGATGATGCAAACGATAACTCCGACGAACAAGTCACTGGGGATTTGGGTCCTATGTTAGTACTACGCAGAAATTTCTTCCTTCCTCAAGGCATTGAAGAATCTTGGCTTCGTTCCAACATTTTTCAATCCACTTGTACAATTCGAGGAAAAGTGTGTCGAATGGTGATTGATTCGGGTAGCTGCACAAACGCAATTTCAGAGGAAGCGGTCACAAAACTGGCTTTGTTTACAGAACCACATCCCACACCTTACAACATCGCTTGGTTAACTTCGAAGACAGACCTTCGAATTAAAAGACGTTGTAGAGTTCCGTTTTCAATGGGCATCAACTATAAGGATTTGATTTGCTGTGATGTTGTGCCTATGGACGCTTGTCACTTGTTACTTGGACGCCCGTGGCAGTATGATCGACGAACTTTTCACGATGGTTTCGCTAATACACATAGCTTCACCTATGAGGGTAAACGTATTACCTTGATTCCTTCTAAGGTTGCTTCTGATGGACCAATTGTCTCCAGTACAGAGGTGGAACCTACTTCTACTTCAAGGGAAAATACAAAACCTGCCTTGTTAGTCTCAAAATCACAGATACTTGAAGAATTTCAATCATCAGATGTGGTTTTCTTCTTACTTGCAAAACCTCAGATTTTGTCTGTAATTCCAGAAGCACCATCAGATTTTCATGAGCTTTTAAAAGAGTTTCAAGACGTGTTTCCTACAGAGTTACCAGATGGCTTGCCTCCCTTGCGTGGCATTCAACATTGTATTGATTTAGCCTCCAACTCTGTCTTACCGAACAGACCTCACTACCGTATGAGTCCCATGGAACACGATGAGCTGCGAAAACAGGTGGAAGATCTTTTAGCCAAAGGATACATTCGTGAAAGCTTAAGTCCGTGTGCTGTTCCGGCTTTACTTATACCAAAAAAAGATGGATCTTGGCGCATGTGTGTGGACAGCAGGGCAATCAACAAGATCACTATTCGCTACAGGTTTCCAATTCCTCGTCTTGACGATCTTTTGGATCAAATTGGGACAGCCTCTGTTTTTACAAAGTTGGATCTTCGTAGCGGTTATCACCAAATTCGTATTAGACCAGGCGACGAGTGGAAGACAGCTTTTAAAACACGTGAAGGGTTGTTTGAGTGGCTTGTAATGCCTTTTGGTTTGTCGAATGCACCGAGTACTTTCATGCGTGTGATGAATGAGGCGCTTAGACCATTTATTGGGCGTTGTGTGGTCGTTTATTTCGATGATATACTCATCTTTAGTTCTACTTTGGCTGAGCATTTATGTCATCTTCGTGAAGTGTTGGGTATCTTGCGCAAAGAGAAATTATTTGCGGCTACAAAGAAGTGTGTTTTTGGGGTGGATCAAGTTCTTTTTTTGGGTTATATCATCTCTTCGCGTGGGTTAGAAGTAGATCCAACCAAGATTTCGGCTATACAATCTTGGCCAACTCCTCGCAATATCACCGATGTGCGTAGTTTCCATGGCTTGGCTTCCTTTTATAGGCGTTTCGTTCCACACTTTAGTAGTATCATGGCACCTGTCACAGATTGTATCAAGTCTGCCTCATTTCAATGGACGGATGCGGCTGACAACGCATTTCAAGAGATTAAAACCAAGCTTACGTCAGCACCGGTGCTTGTTCTTTCCAATTTTCAAGTAGCATTTGAATTACATTGTGATGCATCCAAAGGTGGCATTGGCACGGTTTTGAGCCAATCAAGTCGTCCGGTTGCATTTTTTAGTGAGAAGATCGCGGGATCTCGTGGGCGGTATAGCACATACGACGTAGAGCTTTATGCTGTTGTTCAAGCGGTTAAGCATTGGCGCCACTATCTCTTTCATCGCGAGTTTGTTTTGTATACCGACCATGACGCGCTTAAGCATATGGGATCACAAGATAAAGTGTCTGCGAGACATGCCTCTTGGTTTGCATACTTACAACAATTCTCTTTTGTTATTAAGCATACCGCGGGAACGCTTAATAAAGTTGCTGATGCTTTGAGTCGGAGACACTCTCTTTTGACAACATTACACGTTTCAGTACTTGGTTTTGAGGTACTTCCTGATCTCTATCCCAACGATCCTTTTTTTGGGAAGATATGGAGGGATACAGAACAAGGAATTGGTTCGGTTTATCTCATCTACGATGGTTTCTTGTTTCGTGGAGTTCACTTATGTATTCCAGATTGTAGTTTGAGGCTGCAAATAATTTGAGAGCTTCATGGAGAAGGCCATATTGGACGGGACAGAACATTAAAATTGGTAAGTTCTTCTTATTTTTGGCCAACGTTAAGACGTGATGTGGAACGCTTTATTATACGATGTGGGACATGTCAAGCAGCAAAGGGAAAATCTACCAATTCTGGGTTATATTTACCTCTCCCGATTCCTACACAACCATGGGTGGATTTGAGTATGGATTTCGTTCTTGGCTTGCCACGAACTCAAAGAGGTAATGATTCGATTTTTGTCGTCGTCGATCGTTTCTCTAAAATGGTTAATTTTATACTATGCAAGAAGACTACAGATGCAGTTCAAGTTGCGGTGTTATTTTTCCGGGAAGTGTATAAACTTCACGGGTTGCCACTATCTATCGTCTCGGACCGCGACTCGCGTTTCTTAAGTCATTTTTGGAGGTCTCTGTGGCGTCTTCTTCGCACTAAGCTAGACATGAGCTCTGCGTATCATCCACAAACGGATGGACAAACGGAAGTTACTAACAGAGCATTGGGAGACTTGTTGAGATGTTTAGTTGGAGATAACATTAAGTCTTGGGATTCGATTCTTTGTCAAGCTGAATTTGCTCATAATCGAGCTGTGAACCGCAGTACGGGTTTTAGTCCATTTAAGGTGGTTTATGGGTATCTCCCTCGCTGCCCTACAGACTTGGGAATCAATCCAGATCGGACTCGCTTCCATGGTCGAGCATGTGATTTCATTGACGATTTTGCTACAATACATGAGCAGGTTCATTCCAATTTAGAGATTTCGACCGCAAAATATAAAGCTGCTGCGGATGTTCTTAGGCGTGATGTTGAGTTCAAGGTGGGTGATCTTGTGTGGGCCGTGTTAACCAAAGACCGTTTTAAACCCGGTACTTACAACAAGCTGAAATCGAGAAAGATAGGTCCTCTTGAGATTGTTGAGAAGATTAATAACAATGCATACCGTCTCAAGCTTCCTCCTCATATGCACACAGCCGACGTATTCAATGTCAAACATTTGGTTCCATTTGAAGCTGAAGACGAAGATGAAAATTCGAGGGCGAATTTTCTTCTCACCTCGGGCGACCTGATGTAGCGTCATCCTTATTACTTCTAGCGCAAGACATGAGCTTTCTTACTTCTTTCCTTTCTTCTTTGAGTTTTACTTTTCTGAGTTGATTTCCATTTCTTTGATAAACTTTACTTTACTTTTCGATTAGGGTTTTGATAATGCTAAGGTCGGTTGTGACTTGGCTTATATAAGGATATGTAATGTCTCTTTAGAGACTCGATTTTTATTGAATAAGAAAAGAGGTTTCCCTCAAAATTGAAGTCTTCGAATTCTCTCTGTTTTACAAAGAATTCAGAGCACAAAACCTTGTTTCAAGATCCATTGATCCTTGAAACCTTGTTTTGCTATCTTACCGCTGCATTACGCAGCCATACCAAAGTTTAGAGCAGCACGATAACACCCAACAGGAACAGCATATCTGAGATCGATTATCTGAAAAAGGACAAGAAACGCTCAACATGATATATTGCAAACATAAAAGAACCACAGAATTTATAAAAGGGGTAAGCAATCTTTTCATTTACTGTCACAATAAGTAAAGAGTACCAGATGTACTTGGGAAGTTATACATGGTGCAAAAGCCTAATTAAACGAGGAACTAAGTGCCAAGGAGGTTCATGTAAATGCTGGCAATAAGAATGAAGAATGGCAAACCTGGCGCAAAAACCGGAATGTTCCACTATCAGGCGCAAGACCACCAATTTGAGAAGTAGAGATGAAAGAGTACTCTCGTGTTGGCCTCAAGGATGAGTTTCTCTTGTCAACTTTGAAAGTGTACTTCAGAGCAGAAACCAAACTATGACCCAGCTGTCTCCTTATTGATCTTGATGCCATTTGCGATGGATCTATCAGGTTACGCCATGCAATATTGTAGGCCAGCTCATGATACTTGCTAGCGATAAGCCCCAAGGAAAGACCAACAGCTCGCTCTTTATAAGAAGAATACTTAAGCCAATCTTGGATAGAAAGGTAAACCCGCGACATAAATGGAGTAGGACGCCCTCTGAACCTTGGCAAGTACATCCCCAAGCCGACCTCTGCAGAGTGATCACAGCCATATGCAAGAGATCCGTCCATGATGTCTCCATACCCAAAAATGTTCTTGTACTTCAAAGAGCCTTCAAGGCTTGATGATCTAGCCTACAACAGCCACACAAACAATTATATCGAATCCCTTAAACAAGAGGCATACACAAATATAAATGTGTAATCCAGTTGATCAGTTCCAGAATTATACATCCACTTGAAGCAACAGAACCACCTCTATTTATCAATCATTGGATTTACCAAATACTGCCAGGCAAATAATACTAATACACTGTATGAAGAACATTGATTACCACAGGGTCGGGTTTAGTAAAATATCTGATTTCGCGGGTGATGGTGCGTTTCCTCTCAACAACATCCTCCTCAGCCTCGACGACATGATCCTTATTCTTCTCGTTTCCATTGAAGATCACGTCGTGAACACGCACAGGGTCGGGTTTCTTGATCGTTTCTTGAAGTGGTTCTTCTTCTGCGGTGGTGCTATTTACTTCGTCTTTGTTCCCCGCCGTGATCTTGATATCTACTTCGTCTTTCTTCCCCGCCGTGATCTTGATATCGGAGTACGGCGACTTGTTCGGATTCACGCCAATGTTTTGAAAAGTTTCGGAGGTGATCTCTTTCGTAACTTCTTTTACCATCTCTAGTCCTTTATCTATAGCTTCTTGTTTGGGTTTCCATTTTCCTGCAATAGAAGCTATCTTCTGGTATGCTTGTTTCATGATCAAGAACGCAAATTTGATATCGTCTGTAACAATAACAGAATTGTTGAGTTGAGACTAGAGAAGAAGAAGAAGACCGAAAAAAGAGAATCTTTATACCAAAAAAAATATGGGACCCACATGCAAAATGGGCCTTTTAAAAAAACGCCATGGCCCATTAATATATTTCATTACTATAGTCTATACAATATTTTTTTTTTTTTTTTTTTTGACAGCAGTCTATACAATATTTTTGCATGAAAACAATGTATACTTATACTAGTAAGTTTCAAATTACTTTTATGACACACAAAAAAAAAAAAAAACGTAAGTTTCAAATAACTATCCTAATTTGATATCAGATAAACTTATCCTACTGTATTGTAAGGTATAATTTCCGTTTGTACTGTATGTTTATATCTTATATATGGAGTAGTGTATATAACCGAGGGAATGATTTTGGTGGAGAAATGGAACGGCTTGTATCAGAAATTGAAGCTGAATTTGAGCTTCTTCGGATTGGTCAAAACCAGATGATATGGTATAAGTTCTAAGCTCAAGGTAAGTATTAAAAGAAGCTAAATTTCACCTTATATAATTAAGAGTAATTCCCTAATTCAAAATTTATAACTTTCGATCAAAAAAGCTAAAAATTAGCTCATACAATTTTGTACCTTTAAGGATCAGGTGACAAATTTTTTAAAAACATTCTTCTACGATAGTATAAAGGAAACATATTAATAAGAAATAACATATAGACTAATCATTATAATTCTTTACGTCAATTACGATAAAAAATTACTTGGCTGTCAAACTATTCCCTAATTGATCACAAACTCCTACTAAATATCTCCTAAATGATGTTTATACACATAATATGTATATCATAACCATCAATATTTACGTCGTATCAGTCTCTCGTCTTAATCAATGCCCATGTAAAAACTTCATGCATAGCTAGCGTCTCCCCCCCCCCCCCACCACCACATATCCGAACCACCTCTCAAATTAAGTCAAATCTTTTTTTTTTTTTATAACTCTGGGGAATCCCAAACCTATGGAGGGGCCCAGACTAATCCCCTGGGGGAGGGGCAGCCCACAGATAGACTCTCTCTCCGGGTATGCAAATGGGCCGAAAGCAAAGGGCCCATATCCCTGTAGCCCAGTGGAGATCTAACAATTGCGCGCTTGCGGGAAGATTGTGTCGAGATACAAGCAACAGGGCAACTCCTCTACAAGTGGCAACCACTAGACCAAGAACACTTGGTTAATTAAGTCAAATCTTTAGATCAAAACCGATGGTCACGGCCTTGTGGTCAGCTCCGCCATGCATGGACCAAGCCGTCCACCCTTCAACTACACCGCCTCGTCTCTACCGTGAAACGTTCACGGCGTCGTCCTCTCCAAAAACACGCCAGACCAGCTTTGACCTTTACGAAGACATCATACACCAACTCAACCACTCTCGGTAGTTTAGACGTCATATTACGTATTCAAGAATTGTTTTTGATTTTGCAGATCAAAAATGTAATTTCAAATGTTCGCCTGATTTGGGACAGCCGGAAAATGAATAAAGATATATGTATTAAAAAAAAAAAAATTGAACACCGAAGATAAGAAAGATCACAAATTTAATTTCTTTTGATCTCTAGTCTTAAAAGATTATGGTTCCAGATCCGATTTACTAAAAATTCTGATCTATAGACGGATAACTAAATATATGAGTATTCTGTCCAACTTGTTTCTTTAAAATCTGAACTTTTTTGTTTGAAAACATAATCATGGCATGCAAAGAGTATAATTTAAAGCATGCATGCGTTTTATATTTTCATGAAAGGAAACATCATTTCTTAAGAATATAACTACAATATTGAGAAAATCTCTGTGGATTATTTGGCTTTGTTTTTAGTCATTTTGGATTTACGTTAAAAAAAAAAAGGGAATAAAAATAAAAAATATTTGTTTGACGCATTGAGCAAGAAAGATTAGATGCGTCAGCCTTCGGATTTGTTGAAGTTGTAACATCCCTCGCCTTATAAGTCAACCTCGTACGTAATAATCCTCACAAACATATCTTAGTGTTAGTCAGTGGCGGACGTTATCAAGTATATTTTACTACAGTGTATGTTAGCATTTTAATATGGTATACTATAGTGTATGTTAGCATTTTAATATTGTGTATTATAGTGTATGTTAGCATTTTAATATGGTGTATATTAGCATAAGTACTGTTTAGTCATATAAATACTAAACTGTGTAAACATTTGTTGGTTAATGAGAAAATTAGCAATTTTTAATCTCAATTTCTGCTTTCTTCTTCTACTTGTTCGTCTTCACAAGTTTGTTACGATGAAGAATCTTGGTATGGTATAAGAGCCTCACGATTCGATTGAGATTGCTCTCATTCATATTTTTCTCATTCTTTTTGTTAATTTCCGTTGCAATTCTTCAATTCATGTTCGACGTTTCATTTCTTATAGTTATATCCTATGTTTATAATAAAAATCCGTTTGCATGTCCCAATATTATTATTACTTGAGATAAGAATAATAATATTTGGGATAACTGGGTGTAGTTAACTATAAAATATTCGAATGTTCGGTTTTGTTTAAACATATATTTGAGTTTTAATAAATATTTAAACATAGTTTTTGTTTTAAAAGATAGAATAATTTGAGCTAAGACTTGTACTATAATATGGTGTACTATAGTGGTCGTATAATGAGCGTGAGAGAAAAAAAAGGAAAAAAAATTGGATTGGTACAGAGCTAATAAACTCGTGAGTCACACAATCCGGTTGAGGATTAAAAATCAAACCGGAGAAAACCAATATTGGCACAATTAAAAAAAAAAACAAAAATACAAAAAAGGTTGAAAGTCATAAAACGAAATCGAAATCGGAAGAGGCTCGCTCGGCCCCCTCCCTCCCAGTTGCTTTTGAGGAGTTAAAGCATGAAACGTTTAGTAACCAGTGAGATTCTTTCTCTTCTACGACGGCTCTCGATTTGTAGAGTAGAGCCATGGGTTGTTTCTTCCGTTGCTTCCGTGCTAGAGAAGACCAATCTACGAGTGATTCAGTCTCTCAAGCCAATTCCAACGTAATTCTCATCCTTCCTTCTCTATTCCAGATCTTTTAATTTGCAATTCTATGTTCAATTTAGCTGTTAGAATTGGTGGAGATAAATATTTCAGAGAACTCGATTCTTCTGCCTTTCAAAGTATCATTTTCTTGTAACGTAATTGTTTCAATTGAAGAATCGTTATGGATTCATTGTTTCTTTGATTGTTGTGTGATTTTACAAAATTTTGCTTCAGTTTTTGTTCTGGATTTGGTTTCTATGAGCAATCTCTGAATTTGCTTATTGAATTTCATTGTTTTTGGTTTCGATTTTTGTATAGGAACATTTTTCGAACAAGGCTTTGAAATTGAAGTTAGCACCAACACAGCATGTTTTCTCGAGCAATGTTTTACCTCTGCAACAAAGTGTTAAGCCAAGCGTAGTTCCTTACAAAGTTGCTTTATCACCTAGCAAATCTGATGATGGGTCAGTTTCATTGGACGAGACAATGTCTTCAAGTGATTCCTACAAGATTCCTCAAGTGGAGTATATCGACAATTACAAAGTTTCAGCTGTTGTTCGATTTAAAGGAAAGCATTGAGTAATCTGTACATAAGATGGTCCAGTGGGCAGTGGCATCCTACTATGGATCTTTTGTTCTCTTGAAGTTATGATAACACTATCAAGGTAAAAGTTCTGTCATATCCGTAAGAATGTGAGATTGAATAAGTCACTTTTTTTTCTTATAATTGTTTGCCAATATAAGCATTTAACTACAATTCTTGTGTTTCTGTTAACAGGTTTGGTGGTCTACGGATGAATATGGTGATTATAATTGTGTCCAAAACTTGGGTGAATCTAACAAGTATATCCTCTATTTGCCTCTTCTTTATTCTCACACGTTCAAAATTTTCCTACTTTGATGCTATAGTTTTCTAAACCTTCTTATATGCTTATAACATGTTGCCTTTAATCTTCACTTAGTGGTCATTCTTCTACCGTCTGGGTTATCTCCTTTAATGATGATGGGAACGAGATGATCACTTGTTTCTGATCGGAGATTTCATCTCTGTTACCTGGTCTGACAATACTAAGATTGCTTGAACTTGTAATGATGATCTAACAGTGAAAATATGATGGACATATTGCAGGGATGCAATCTGGTGAAGGATATGTACCCCGGTGAGGATATGTAATCAATTATCACTTCATAGAGTTTAGCATATAAATTTTCATCTTTTGAAGATTTATTCTTTGTTTTCGTATGGTCTTTAAGTTTGACATAAGATGCATACGGTCAGATATTCTTCATTCGCTAGGGATTTCATATTCCAAGTTGTAGCTAATACAACATTTACCTGTTTGATTTTTTTAGGACCCATCTTCTTTGTACACTCTCTGGTTTTCATGATCGTACCATATATTCAGTTCATTGGTCAAGGTATAGACTTCTCACTTTGGTGTCTTTTGATTTTGAGGTATTTGAATGAAACATTGGTAAAGTTTTTATCAAAAAGGAAAAAAACATTGGTAAAGTCCTACTAAATTCCTTGGGCAACCAAGAAGACGATTTCTTACACCTGTTCTTCAGGTTCAATTTCATTTATACGATTTCATTTCGTTTCTGTGAATCTGGTTTTTGTTTTGTTTTGTAGGTTTTTCTTTTGTTTTGTAACTGTAAGATTGGGAGGAACGTTATAAGAAACAGAGGAGGCTTTTTCGTTTGAGACGAATAAGGCGAAAGTTGTGGTGATGAACGCAGAGATTCGAAGAACCAAAGCTCGATTGCTTGAAGGAATTCCAAAACTTCAAAGGCTTCAAAGGCTGACCGATTCCCAAAAAGACAGGAGTACATTGAAACAAAGGGACTTCGAGCTGAGAAGAATAGCTTTGGCGTCTGAGAATCTGCTGACTTTAAGCTGAGAAGAATAGTTTTGTGGTCTGAAAATCTACGGACTCTAACCGGAGATTTGTGGTCTGAAATTCTGGTGACTCCGGAGATAAAGTTAAAGAATCTGGTGAGAGACGAAGATGAGAGACGACAACGACGATTAGAGACGAATTTCATTTTGGGTATTACATTACGTGTTTGGATTTAAATTATAGTTTAGATGTTTTGATGTTCATTAAGATTTATGCTCACAAAGAATTAGTTTTATGGAATTTTGTTTTAACTGTAAGAATCCATAATTTTACCAAATCTAAAAAAAGAAGAGGCAAAGCATAATTTGAAGAATTATTTAATATAAAAAATTATGGTATCGAATAAATTATTAAATTATCATTTTAACTAATTAATGTGAACTAATGGTGAAAATATAATCTTAGAAAATGAAAGACAATGGTAAATATTTTCAATGCTATTCATAGTCTCCACTCTCCAGCATAAATATTAACGAAAAATGCTACTCAAAACAGCTTCGTATAATCCCCATAATAGAGCAACTAATCATCTTGCTTCTCTTTAAAGAAGAATAAGTAATAGATTATGACTCTAGACTAAATAAGATTAGTTTCTTAATTGTTAGAGATTCAATTGTGTTTGATTCAGAAAAATACACCTAGTAGAAACTAAAAAACTGGAGATAAATGCGTTTGATTTTCCTAATTTTTTGGTGTGATAGAAACTTAAAAACTGGAGATATAGAGATGCGTTTGATTTCCCTAATTTTTCATGTATTATGCGTTTGATTTTCCTAATTTTGCGGTGTGATAGAAACTTAGAACACCTCCATTGAAGGTTTTTATTGTACACAATCCTTTTTGCTAACGATCTTCTCATGCTAAAACTGTATTGATAGTTGATACAACTCATTGATCCGAGCTCACACAATAAATTTATCTATAGATACAACTAAATTTTTGTATTAAGTTAACTAGTTAAGGATAAGGTAGTCATTAACTATTTTAATGGTTCCTTAACGTCTCCAATTTCGTTAGGTCTTCAAGCGAAACAAAAGGGATTATCTTCTAATCTTTAGTATTTATCTTCTTCTTTTATTTTAAATATAAATAGAGATTATCTTCTTCTTCTTCTTTTTTTGGGGTAAATCTTCCTTATATCTCATGTTTTACTTTGCCAAATATTAAATGTTTAGTATTTTAATTTTCGCTCCCATATTAAATGGTCGCTTAGGTTATCTTTGCCAAATGCCATCTCGTGCTTTTTTCTCTTTCCGTATTAACTTCTTGAAATCGATTTTGTTTTCATGGTGGCTGAATGTTTAGCATTGACATCATCAAACTTAGAAATTCTTCACGACTCTTTTCTGGTCGCTTGGTTAGTCCGAATTAATTTTCTGTTTAGTTAACTTCGCTAGATTTTAAGCGAAACAAAAGGGATTCTCTTCTACTAAGTATTTATTTATCTTCTTCTTTTATTTTTTAAATATAAAAAGAGATAATCTTCTATTTTTTTTTGGTCAATCTTCCTTATCTCTCCGCACTTTTTTTTTACTTTTTTTTTCTCAATATATTTCCTCTTATTTATTATATATATATGCCTTGTGAATAAAGAATAAGGGACCTAAGAAGAAGCTTTCTGACTAAAACCCCAAACGTTGAATAATAGCAAGGGTATTATGTCATCCACGGATCTCAAACCGGAATCTAAATCTGAAAATAACCAAGTCTCTTCGAAGTCGAAGGCAGTGAAAGGTCCATTACATGTGTTCATGAAAAAAGGTGGTTGCGAAGAATCATATACAGCTTGTGTAGGTTGTGATGCGCAGAAAGATGAGTGTAGGGAAGCCTTTTCAATGCTTGAAAAGTGTATGAAAGCTCGCTCTGATTACTTTGAGCCATATCGCGCGTTGGAGAACGCTAGTGCTGAAGTGATGCTGAGAGAAATCGATGCCTTCCTCCATGCGAAACCAAAGGACAGAGACGAGATGTTTACCAAGTTCATGATAAGAGGTGATTGCAAAGAAGCTTTTATGGCTTGGAATGACTTCTGCAAAAAAGCTAAGAAGAATAATAAAAGTTGTCTTCATACACCAACCATGGACACCTTGTTCAAGTGTATGAAGGCTCATTCTGATTACTATCACCCGCTTCTCACGGTATTCAAAAATGCTGAAGAACATTTTAAAAAAGAGATCAAAGCCTTGGATACGAGGGAGGGAGCTGAACCTGATGCTGATGCTAATCGATGATTAACAAAAGGATTTATTTACGTAATATTTTTATGCTTTCTTTTTTTTTTTTTTCCCTTCTTAATGAATACTCTTCTTCTGTTTTAATATGATTCTAAAAGGCCACTCATTAATTACTTTGTTGAATGTTTCAGTCATCGTCTTTATAATTTTTTTTTATAACGGTTTTAAAGATTTTAGGTTAACCTCTTCAATTCGTATTCAACAAATTTACTTACACATTCACCGGAATCTCACTAAGTCACTATATATAAGTCTCTAAGCAAATCTTTGACGGTTCGCTTAGGCTGTGGATGATTCTAAAGGTCATTGTTTGTGATGCAAAACAGCATTTACTTAAAAACGACATGAAATCTGTTTGTTCTTTCCTCCATCTCTGCCGTGGCTATATTGTCGCTTCAGCTTCATAATTATTTGACAGATAAATGTGTTCTTTATTGATGGTTTTAATAGTTAACATATTAACCAATTAACCAATTTTACTCGACGGCCGTAGGGAAATAATCAAATAATCTTTACGTAACTCCTAAAAAGCCTGAATTATTGGGATTACCAAAATCTAAATAAAAATCACACGTCAATCAAGGGTATTTACTCCAACATGGAACTTAATCCAATACATGAATTCCACGTGGCGATTTTCCATTGGTCGATGTTTCTTTTTCTTTCGAGTATAAAAACATATGTCCCACCACGCTCCTCAATACAAACGAAAACAGAGCCAAAGTGAGAAATATAAAATGGCGGGAAACTCCCTAATCCCTCCGGCGATTATGCTCGCGATGCTTCTCCTTATTTCACAGGAGACTCACGCCGGTCACGACTACCGCGACGCTCTCCGCAAGAGCATCCTTTTCTTCGAAGGTCAACGCTCCGGTAAGCTTCCACCAGACCAACGCCTTAAATGGCGCCGTGACTCCGCCTTACGCGACGGTTCCTCCGCCGGCGTGGATTTAACGGGAGGCTACTACGACGCTGGAGATAACGTAGCGTCAGGTTCTTTATCGTTTTTGTTACTAACATACTCTAATTACCTAAGTCACGCCAATAAGGTAGTGGCATGTGGCGAATTCATCGCTTCTCCTGCTCTTCTCCGTCAAGTTGCCAAGCGTCAGGTAAGTAAACTAACCAACATTCCTCTGTTGTTAGCATCGTGACATTATTTAATGTAGTGTTAATGTTGTTTTGGTGGTGTACGTTAACATAGGTGGACTACTTACTAGGAGATAATCCGATGAAAATGTCGTACATGGTTGGGTATGGTTCGAGGTTTCCGCAGATGATTCACCACCGTGGTAGCTCGGTTCCTTCAGTCGTGGACCATCCTGGTCGTATAGGGTGCAAAGACGGTTCTCGTTACTTCCTCAGCAATAATCCTAATCCTAATTTGCTAATTGGCGCCGTCGTTGGTGGGCCTAATATCACTGACGATTTTCCTGATTCGAGACCTTACTTTCAGCTGACTGAGCCCACGACTTATATCAACGCACCTCTTTTGGGCCTTCTTGGTTACTTCTCGGCCCATTCGTGATTTCACAACTCGAAGCATGAAAGTCTATTTTTGTTGTGAAATATTTTTACTTGATTGTTACCGAAAAATCAATTTGCTAACAAATTAATTAGTAGGTCATTTACTCGAGTAATTAATAACAATCATCAAATTTTAATCATATGGGAGTTAGGGAATACAAGAGTAATAATGGGAGTAAGAAGGAGACAAGAGTAATTAATATTTTTATGACCAAAAATAATCAAAATTAGGAATTTGTCTTTAGGACTTTGGTCGGCTGCTTTCCGCTTACCACAAGAACAAGAACGCTATTTTGTCTCCTCCACGCAATTACCTCTTCTTCTCTCAGACATTTCGTCAAACAGATGGTGCTCGTTCTGAAACAGCTTACGAACTAACAAGGAGACAGACACTAAGCTTGGTTATCTCCGATTAGAAGGGGGAAAAAGCGAAAACGAGGGCTTGAGACGAGTGATGTGATAGAGATGGAAGGAGTTGAGCTAGAACTAGAGAGAAGAAGCAAGTTCTTGAACAGTTTGATACAGAAGAAGAAGGCTAAAGAACAGCAAGATCAGAAAGATGAGTTCAATGTTCGAGTTAGGGCTTCAGATATGCCTTTGGTTCAACAGAACAGAGCCTTTAGTTTGTCGCGTGAGATTTTGAATGCTACTCCTGGGAAAGCTGACAACAAAAGACTCGCTCTTACCCTAAAAAAGGTTAGATCTTTTGTATTTCTCTTCTGATTTCTCTGTATCTGGGTTGAAATGGAGTCGTTGAAGTTTAGTACTGTGGAGTGAGTTTTGAATTTTGACACAGAATCTAAGTATTGAGCTGGTTTTGGGTTCTAAGGCTACGTCTCAAAGTCGCATGCTTTATGTAGAATGGGATTATTGTCGATCTCGTTCTTGATTTTGTTTGAAGATGTGTAGTTATGTGATGAATCTTGAATTTGGATTTCATTTTGTGTACTTGCATTTTGTTGAAATTCATAGATGGTTCCATATTTGCTTTGGCTTTCATTTGGTTGCATTTGACTTTGTAGTTTGTTCCATTGTTGTTGTCTTTTCTATTTGTAGCTTTGGTTAGTCTACTTGACTAGGTTGTTTTTGTATTGCGAGGATAACTTAAGTATGAGTCTCTTTGTGAAATGTCTTGAAACTGGATGTTCTTGTTGCTTATTGAGATGAAATTGGAGCTATGTCTTTTTAGACCTAGCATGCACCATCTGCTAAGCTTCTGTATCTGTGCTGTTAGAGTTAGTTGCTACCTAATGATAACTCTGAAGCATGTTTGCCGTAGGATTTGAGCCTTGCCCAAATATATAAAGGACTCGGTTGTCTTATGATAAAACGGGTTTGTCTTATGTGTTTGATGAATAACACATTTAACACTTTTAAAATGTGAGGATGTTGTTCCTTCTTAGAGGGTTTTGATGATTAGCTTTTTAATATTCACATATGGAGCGAAATGGAGCACTTTTTAGTTTGTGAATCCCTCAATTTCTCATATTCGAATAGGTAGAGGCATTGATTGATTCATACACTGGTTTTATGAAGTGGTTGAGTAAGTAAAACAATATAATGTTTCACTTATCTGTGTGCAGCTTACTTTTTGTCTCATTATTCATCAATCTCTTAATAATGGCTACCTCTTTTATGATTGATTGGCATATGAGTCAGTTTCTGCTGTTTGCCTTGTTTTATCTCGGAATAGACCTTCATATGTTTCTTATACTGAAGTGAATCTCACTGTCCCATTTGTCTAACGGCATGTTGCAGCTGATTTAAAACTCTATTCACTAAACGATTTTTCATCTTTCTTTCATTTCAGGACTTTGATTCAGCCTACGGCCCGGCATGGCACTGCATCGTCGGGACAAGCTTTGGTTCATACGTGACTCATTCCATTGGAGGATTCATATACTTTCAAATCGACAAGGTTTACGTTCTTCTCTTCAAAACCGCCGTGGAGCCGTTAGATCAAAAATGAGAAAAACTATCACATTAAAGCATCTTCAATTAATCATTCCCTTCTAGAATTCTCTGCCTTGTATCCACCACACTCTTATGTAATTCCTGAGTTCACCGTGTTAATCTGCCTAAGTCAAAATCTTTGTTGCTCCTATTTTGTAATTAGAAGTGATCTTGTTTCAACTTCACAATGCAAAATATTCTTCTTTTCTTCTCATCTTTCTCAAAATCTTAACTTTTTTTGGTGTGTTAAAAAAAATTGTGTAATTCGAGTTCTTTCTTTCTGTTGAGTGTTTGTTGACATTTTCTTCTTCCTCAAAAGAGCTTTAAACCCAAAACCTCTATTACCAATTTTGCTCCTCCGGTTTATTACAATCAAGAAAACACCCAAAAAAAAAAAATCAGTGAAGGAAAAAAATGGATCAATCTCAGCGAACAGTCGCTGCAACGCCTTCGTCTTCTCGATCATACCAATTCCACCCTGCTCGTGCTGCAATTATCGATCTTTTCAATCTATACTTAGGGGTTATTCTCTTTTCCAATCTCCCAATTTTTCTTCCAATTTTCTCTGCTGATTTTGCCTTGTCTTTTTACACAGAGAGGAAGCCGTCAAAAGCCCGATGAGTCCCTCAGAGATCCTCCGTATGTTTCTATTGATTCTGAATAACTCTTGTTTCTCTTCCTCCTGTGTTTGATTTTGAGTATGTTGATTGTTTTCATCAGGAACAAATCACAGAAGCGTGTTCATGCTCCTAACGGAGACTTACCACCAAGAAACGAGCAATTCATTTTGGATTTTGAGCAGCTTCAGAGCCAATTCAATGTAAAGTTTCGTTTTTTATTATCGTTTATCGTCTCTTTTGTGATTTTGTAAGATAAAGTTTTGTTTTTTTTTTCGAACTCTTTATTAGGATCCAGAGCAATTGAGGACGATTACTGAGTCAGTTTTGATATCTTTGGTGGTGCAATGTAGCAATCATGCGCCTCGTGCTGAGTTTCTTCTCTTTGCTTTGCGTACATTGTGTAGGATTAGTTATATCAATTGGGATACTTTTTTACCATCCCTTCTCTCTTCGGTTTCTGCTGCTGAGGCTTCGTTAAGCCAAGGTGTTCAAGCCGCGGCAACGGCTGCTTCTTCTGCTACTTCTTCACAGTCTTTAGTTCCTGTGTCTGCCAATCCTGTCTCTAGCTCGTCGAACTATCATTCTACCAATCCAACGTCATTGTTGCCTTCAGCTCATGGTATTGGTTCTCCATCAGCTTCAGGGAATGAGCCGGGTTCTTTAACTACTTTCGCTCAGGTTAAATCGTTGGAGAATGGGCAGCAGATTGCAAGAGCAGGCCAGACTGTAAGAGAGAATGCTATGAGAAATAGTCAACGGATTAGAGCTGCTGCTATAAACAGTCTGCGCCAGCTCAGTTGCAAGATTATCTTGATTGGCGTTGAATTTAGTCTCAAACCCGTTACTCATGCCGAGATTTTCCAGTACATGTTGAATTGGCTTGTTAACTGGGACAGGAGAGATCTGGGAACTGAGGACTCTGCAGGTACGTCGTGGAGATCTGAGAAGACTTTAGCTGAATGGTTGCGAAGTTGTTTGGATGTGATCTGGCTGTTGGTAAAAGAGGTTGAATCTCGAATTCCGTTTTATGAGTTATTGCGCAGTGGTCTACAGTTTATAGAGAACATACCTGATGATGAAGCCTTGTTCACTCTTATCATGGAGATACACCGGAGGCGAGATGCGATGGCCATGCACATGCTCATGTTGGACCAACATCTTCACTGTCCAACATTTGGTACCCATCGTATAGTGTCCCAAGTAACTGCCAATGTTTCAGCCGAGGCTGTGCAACACTTACGACATTCACCAATTACATATCCAAGTGTGCTTGGGGAACCTTTGTATGGAGAGGTGATTCCCTTGAAATCGTGGAGATTAGTTTCATAGCTTAGGCTCTAGGTGTTATTGTGTAATGTATATGCTTTGCATTAGGCAGACAATTTGTGAACTTCAATCCTCTCTTCTTCTTTTTCGACACTGGCAGGATCTGGCGATGTTTATTCCAAAAGGAAGCCTCGATTGGGAGAGAGCAGTGCGTTGCATTAGACATGCTATCCGCACTACGCCGTCACCGGACTGGTGGAAGCGTGTTCTTGTTGTGGCCCCTTGTTATAGACCATCTACACAACCAGGGCCTATCCCTGGTGCTGTATTCACTTCTGACATGATTTGTGAGGCAATCATTGACAGGATTGTTGAGCTTCTTAAGCTGACCAACTCAGGCAATGTTTGTCTTTCCCTATTTCTCATGTCTTTGATCTGTCACTTCCTTTTAAATCTGTGGAAATGATTTTGAAATAGCAAGTGGTTTTGCTAGTCATCACAATCTGTAAAGAACCTACATTATTTACGTTTTATTCTAGTTCAGAATAAGTGTGGAAGTTCTGTAATGGTTGATTCGTTAGGCTTAGATAGAAATGATAAAAGTAAGAGTTGAGATACCATTATACTAGGATTGCTTTGGTATTGATTTGGTATCTGTTACTTTTTCCCCTCTCTATGCAGATGCAAATTGTTGGCAAGAGTGGCTGGTTTTCTCAGATATCTTCTTCTTTCTAATCAAAAGTGGGTGCACTGATTTTGTTGATTTCATTGACAAGTTGGTTTCACGCCTTAACGGTGTTGATAACCATATTCTTCGGACGAATCATGTGACGTGGCTGCTTGCACAAATAATACGCGTGGAGCTTGTGATGACTGCTTTGAACTCAGATGCTAAAAAGGTCGTTACTCAATTACAATGATATCTTTGCAGCTGCAATGCAATTACTTGTACTTCTTTTTCGTCGAACTTGACATCCCAATTTGTGCTCTATTTGGGTTTTCTCTCAGGTGGAGACTACTAGGAAGATCTTATCATTTCACAGGGAAGACAGAAATTCTGATCCCAATAATCCTCAGAGTGTGTTGCTTGACTTCGTAAGCAGTTGTCAGAATCTACGGATTTGGTCACTAAGCACAACAACTAGGGCATACCTAAACAATGAACAGCTGTTGAAGGGAAAACAGATCGATGAGTGGTGGAGAAGCAAAGGTACATAAGGTTTCAATGGCAGGGCTAGCAGAGAATTCCTGATTATAAAAACCATCCTCTCATTCTGTTTCTGTTTGGGGTTGTCAGGAGAGCGGATGATGGATTATATGAATATGGATGATAGGTCGATTGGCATGTTTTGGGTTGTTTCCTACACCATGGCACAACCAGCGTGTGAAACAGTTATAAATTGGCTATCTTCAGCTGGCATGGCTGAGTTACCGGGATTACAGCCAAACGACCGAGTAATGATGACGCAGGAAGTGACCCCGTTACCTATGTCATTGCTATCTGGCTTTTCAATGAATTTGTGCTTGAAATTGGCCCTTCAGATGGAAGAAGCTTTGTTTGTTAGCCAGGTTTGTTTCCTTTGTCTCACAAAGATATTATATATGTTAAGTAATACACTGATCTATGAAGAACATCTTCTTTGGCCAGTTTTACTTAGTGACCTGTTTTCTCCACGGTTTAGTAAACAACTTTAGCGTTTTTCTTGTTTAAAAATGTTAATAGTAGATTTTTAAAATCCTGAGTAAAATAAATATAGTGTCGTAGTAAAACATCTGAGTGCAGGTTGTTCCTAGCATTGCAATGGTTGAGACATACACAAGATTGCTTCTGATTTCCCCTCATTCGATGTTCCGTTCGCATTTCAGTGTAAGCTATTTGGTTCCTTCTGTTACCTTTTGACTTTCATTATCTTATGTTTTATAACTGTTGTCTATTGATCATAAGCGATTCATAAGATTAGCTAACTTTCTGTAGCAATTGGCCCAGCGAAATGCTTCTCTACTAAGCAAGCCTGGAGTGACTTTGCTTGTTCTTGAGATTCTGAACTATCGGTTGCTTCCGCTCTACAGGTAAAACGAGCGAAAATTTCTCAAGTTGGAGTCGATCCTTCTTTACGTTTTAACTGGGACATTCTTTTAGTTAGATGACAATTGTTTCGGGCTTTCGCCATATTGGCTGTTTGACCCGACTAAACAAAATTACTGATCTTATTGATGCACCTTTTGCAGATACCAAGGAAAGAGTAAAACTTTAATGTATGATGTTACTAAAATAATATCTGCATTGAAAGGAAAACGTGGTGACCACCGTATATTCAGACTAGCTGAAAACTTATGCATGAATCTCATTTTATCACTCAGAGACTTTTTTTCCGTGAAACGGGAGGGAAAAGTAAGTGTTTTTTTCGAATTACGCTCTCTGTCCCCTTCTTATTTTGTGCCAGGATCTCAGGTGTAAGTAATTGTTCTTATGTTATTATCACCAGGGGCCAACTGAATTCACTGAGACATTAAACCGCATAACCATCATGACTCTTGCTATCACTATCAAAACACGTGGTATCGCAGACCCTGATCACTTGGTTTATCTGCAAACCATGTTGGAACAGATACTCGCGACGAGTCAGCATACATGGTCAGAGAAGACGATGCGGCATTTCCCATCCCTTCTCCGTGACACATTGAATGTACGGGTAGACAAGAGGGGCCTATCAATTCAGGCATGGCAACAGGCTGAAACAACTGTGATAAACCAGTGCACTCAGCTTCTCTCACCATCTGCTGAACCCGCTTACGTTTCAACATACCTCAGTCACAGTTTTCCTCAACACCGTCAGTATCTATGTGCTGGTGCTTGTCTGCTGATGCAAGGCCACGCTGAAAACATCAACAGCACAAATCTGGTTTGCTTTGCTTAGTCTCTTCATAATTGTGAACTGATTGTTAGTTGATAGTGGTATGACTTTCTCTTCCAAACGATTATCAGGCACGGGTTCTGAGAGAAGTTTCTCCTGAAGAAGTCACTGCTAACATATACACTTTGGTCGATGTTTTGCTTCACCACGTTCATGTAGACCTTCAGCAAGGACAATCTTTAGAGGTTTCTGTCTGCCAGAAGAGATTGACCTCATTTTTCGTTGCTTGATCCATCTTCTTACATTGCATCCTAATATTTTTTTAGGCAGTTCTAGACAAGGCAGGCGCAAATCTTGCATTTTTCTTCTGGACACATGAAATGCTTCCTCTCGACATTTTTCTTCTGGCGCTCATTGACCGTGATGATGATCCGCACGCCTTGATAATTGCAGTATGTTCATGCTTTTACGTGAAAGAAGCTTAACATCATAGAAATTTTACAATGTTGTTTTCAATATATTTACAGATGAGCCTACTTAAAACGCCAGACCTTCTGCTGAGGATTAAAAACTATTGCCAAAACCGTGGGTCTCCTGAGCACTGGCTTGTCACACAGGTGTTCAAACGCAATGAACTCCAGAAGGCCCTTGGAAACCATCTTTCTTGGAAGGACAGGTAATATATCTAGCCCATTTCAACGTCAATGTAACTGATTTCTGAAAAAAAAATCACTTAATTACATGACTTTGATTGTTTGACTGGTTTTGTTGGCATCAAACCATGAATGTGTGATGGAACCTGCCATGAAAACTTGTGTATGACCAGGAGATGAGTGTTTTTTTTTTTTATCTGTTTTGGCAATTTTGTGTTGCATTCTGCTAAAATTGGGGAAATGTTTTCCCTTTTTATTATGTTAAACGCAGGTATCCAACGTTCTTTGATGATATTGCAGCGCGTTTGCTTCCAGTTATCCCTCTAGTGGTTTACAGGCTCATCGAGAACAATGCGATGGAGCAAGCTGATAATCTTTTGCTTGCACACTCGCATTTTCTAGCTTATCATCCTCTCAGATTTACGTTTGTCCGTGATATACTCGCCTATTTCTATGGTCATCTTCCTGGGAAACTTGTTATGCGCATGCTCAAAGTACTTGATCTCAGCAAGGTAATTGAAATAAATCCCGATCTTACTTTGATTCTGAAATTTACCTCAAGTTGATGTGGCTTCTGGATTTCAGTGTAAAGATTTTTAGAGGAAATACTCGCCTATTTCCTCTTTGTTTCTCACCATTTTATCTAGATGCATTTGTTCGTAACTGTTTCCACATTCGATTAAAATAGAACGTAACAACTCTTTTGACATTTCTGCAGATTCCATTTTCTGAATCATTCCCGCAGTACATTAGCCCTGCCGGTGCCGCTGTATGCCCACCTCTAGATTACTTTGCCTCTCTTCTGCTTAATCTTGTAAACAACGTTATACCTCCACTTAGCAGCAGCAGCAACTGCAGCTCGAGGTCTGGCTCAATGGCAGATATCTTAAACAGCTCAGCAAGACCTCTTCATGGGAAAACTCCAGGAACATCTCAGCCTGGACCAGCAAACGCCTCTGAGGGCCAGAAAGCATTCTATCAGATCCAAGACCCAGGAACTTACACTCAACTGGTTCTTGAGACGGCCGTGATCGAGATCCTCTCGCTTCCCGTCTCCGCTGCACAGATTGTCTCTTCGCTTGTCCAGATAATTGTCAACATACAATCGACTCTGATTCAATCTGGAAACGGGTTCCACGGCGCTGCGAACGGGGTGGGGCAAGGGTCGGTACTGCCAACGTCTCCCTCAGGAGGGAGCACGGACTCCATGAGCGCTAGCCGGTCCACTTGTCTGATTCCTGGTATCAACACGGCGAGCTTTGTCTCTAGAAGCGGTTATACATGTCAGCAACTGTCGTGTCTGTTGATTCAAGCTTGTGGGCTTCTGCTGGCTCAGCTCCCTCCGGATTTTCACACGCAGCTTTACTTGGAGGCAGCACGTGTGACAAGGGAAACATGGTGGCTTAAGGATGGGAAAAGAGCACAAGGTGAACTAGACTCGGCTGTTGGATACGCTTTGATGGATCCAACATGGGCTGCTCAGGACAACACCTCGACCGCAATAGGTACGCTATAGCTTCTGTATCCATAAGTTAATGTTTGTTTTGGTTTTGTTTTTACATCCATAAGTTAATGTTTGTTTGGGTTTTTTTTTAACATGTGTATCGTTGTGTCTTCTTCCAGGAAATATAGTCGCCTTGCTTCATGCTTTCTTCAGCAATCTCCCACAAGAATGGCTTGATGGCACGAATGCCATCATCAAGAACCTCCGGCCTGTGACATCTGTCGCAATGCTCAGAGTTGTATTTCGTATTATGGGGCCACTGCTTCCGAGGCTTGCCAGCACACATACGCTCTTTAACAAGGTACTCTTATGGCTTGTACCCATATGAAGTGGTCAGTATTTTCAAGTATATCCTTGTGAGAGTTACTATGTAACATTCTGTTCATGTTAAATGTTATATCAATGGCTGGATAGAATTTGAATATTCTGTAGTTGCCGTCTTCTGGCATGTTAATACATAGTCTGTCGAGTGAACAACAGAAATGGAACGATCTTCCATTTCCAGACCATGTTCGACTAAAGGTTGCTTGTAATTTGACTTTGGTGTTCATTTTTTGTTCCTCAACAGACGCTAACCCTTCTCTTAACCGCGCTGGTCGATGTTTTCGGAAAGAACGCACAGACAACAGCCCCTGTTGAAGCATCTAAGATTGCTGATCTTATCGATTTCCTGTAAGCTTCTAAACTACCATACCCGAACATGGATTCACTATTGTCTTTATTGATTAACAATCATATAAACTGTTGTTGCAGACACCATATTATTCACTACGAGGGACAAGGAGGAGCTGTTCAAACTAGCAGCAAGCCGAGGCCTGACATCTTGGCGTTAATCGGAAGAGCAGCAGATTCTCTCCGACCGGATGTACAACACCTTCTCGCTCACCTCAAAACCAACCCGAATTCTTCGATATATGCAGCTGCTCATCAGCAGAATACCGCAAAGACCAACACCTCTTAATAAACACTGAGATGATAATGTGTCCATGGTGGAGGTAAAGTCGTAGAGCAATAGAAGCACAAAAGATTGTTCCATCTACAGACTTGTTCTGGTAAATTTGGTTCATGGTTACAACTTGTTCTGTTTATATATTTTGTATATATGTCAATGATAACATTATGTTTCTCTTATTTATGAAATTTAGAATTAAAATTATGTTAGATGATAAAGCAGGCTTATTCAACCAAGCATATTTAGACAAGTCACAGGATGATGTTTTTCGTCAATCTCATATTTTTTGTCGTAATATCAACCGGTATTGTCGTAACATTTTGAAAAATATTATATGATCTCCAAATAATACAAGTATATTCGTTACAAAATTTATATAATAGTATAAGAAGATTCACATAAATATAGAATGAATTGGGTTGTAAAATTTCTTGCCACGAGAAGAAGAAGATCTTTGTTTCTCCAACTGAATAGTTTAACATAGATTGTTTGTCTAATCAAACCTAGAAACAAAATCAAATCAACCAACTAACCAAATGCTCATTCACATTCCCTTCTGTTTATAGTATGCTTGATCTCATTGCAAACCCAAGAGTAAAGAAGTAGTATTGAATGGTACCGGACGAGTTTTTGAGCTGAGTCCCATGTTGACGAAGATAGCAACAAAAGCCGACACAAGACGCCCTGTCCCGAGCACTCCAAATCCTTTTTTTCATTATTATACATCAGATTTAAATTTGTTTTGAAGTTAAACATAAGAATAAGCAACACATTAAAGTCTTGTTCATATTTTATTACTTAACAATTTTTTTCGTCAAAATCTTCAACACATTAGTGTATGTTACCTTGGTAGGTCTCCCATGGATAAACTACGCCGTTTCCGTTTCTATCGAAGAAGGCCACATGTTATCATTTAAGTATTTTCTCCTTATTCATTCATCAATATGTCATTGAGTCTTAGATATGTCAATGATAACATTTTGTTTCCCTTATTTATGAAATTTAGAATTTAAATTATCGTTAGATGATAAAGCGGGTATTTTTAACTTAAATGAAGTATACTTTTTTTTTTTTTGTCGTCTAGATTTATTATTAATTGCAAATTATGAGAACTGTTACATAGACGATTCTACAACTGACAATTCCTTCCGACCTTTACTAGATCCACGACAGACTACACTTCCGTGACACTTCCTTCTCTGCGTAGAATCCTGGCGAACGGCTATAATTGTATATCGCTGGAGATCTCTTGCACACTTGCCTCCATTAATCTGCAAATTTATTAATAAATCGCAATACCTGGGACTCGAACCCCAGACCTCTTGGTGTAGAAGCATTAATCAACCCTTGGTCAACCAATGAGCCAAGGGGGCTTCCACAATGAAGTATACTTTAATAAGTGTTTTTTTGTCAATATACACAATAATTATATAAATAGTTCTGGATCTCCAAGTTACATAAATATTCATTACAAAGGTTATTTGGTTTCCAAATTATATAATTATAAACCAGGAAATTTATTTGATCTCCCCCATAATAATATAAGAAGATTCACGTAAACATTTAAGGTAGTTTTTGTTTCTTGCCACGAGAAGAAGATGAATTTTTTTTCTCCAGTTTTTCGAAAAGGCTACCATCGTAGATGTCCCTGACGCTATCTTTTGACAACAAACCATTTTTGTCTTTGGCTAAGTTATGTAATATTTTCCATTCTCCATAATCTGAAAGCCTGTGCAGATAATACTTAGGTATAAGCATCGTGCCATATGTATATTGTTTTTTTTTTTTTATGAAAATCGGAATGATACGTTACGTTGTGACTATAATTTAATTTGTTTGAAATAATTCAGAAACAACGAACCATCCTGTGATATCGAAAGGATCCCTGTTAGTCTTAAGCATTTTTTGAATTTCCTCTGCAGTGAGAGCACCTTTATGTGTGCGAGCATGCTTCTTGAATATCTCCTCGAATTTTGATTCCACAAATCTGTAAAATTTAGGAGAAAAGTAATTACACTTTTTTTTTTTTTTTTTGATAATCCAGGTATGCGGACGGAAGCCCGACTAGCACCAAGGCTTGAGGCCGTTTCCCTGTCGGGCCGTCCGAGCCCAACGCTCAGTGTGTTTCCTGGAGACCCGAGGGAGCCAGGTAAAAACCTCGGTGGCCAACGGGAATCGAACTGCGGGCACCATATTGGGATTACCCCCTCAAGTACCACTAGCCCAACCCACGTTGGTTAAGTAATTACACTTTGTAAACACACATGGATAACTAATACATTAAGAAAAGAAGGATGTCAAGGAAAGAGATGAAAGAACCTTCCGTCATCGTCGTAGACGTCGGTGTCACTACCGTGCATGCAAAGGTGACTATTCTTCACGTCTATTGGAAACAACGGCGAAAATCTCTTTCCCTAATTAACAATCACTATGGCTTCAAAAACAATGGTAAGATATAATCCGAATTGTTTAAGAATTAAGATATATAGATTGTTTGCATAATTAAACCTAGAAACAAAATCAAATCAACCAACTAATTAAATACTCATTCACATTTCCTTCTTGTTTTATTAATATATTCGTTATTCGGTTTAGCCGTTTTTTTTTTTGTAGCCGTCAACGTTTTTAACTTATGCTTGATCGCATTGCAAAACCAAGAGTGGAGAAATCAAATTAAAAAATAAAAGGAGAGAGAAATGGTATTAATTGGTACCGGACGAGTTTTTTGGCTGAGTCCCATGTTGATGAAGATAGCAACAAAAGCCGCCAAAAGACGCCCTGTCCCAAGCGCTCTAAATCCTTTTTTGTTTATATACATCAGCGAAAAAAATATGTTAAGCAACATATCAAAATCTTGTTTATATTTTATTACTCAAACATTTTTTTTTTTTGCTCAAAAATTTCAACACTTAGCTAATTGTGTATGTACCTTGGTAGGTTTCCCATGGATAAACGGTGCCGTCTTTGTTCCTGTCGAAGAAGGACACATGTTTCTCCAATGCAGTCAATTCTTTCTTATCTGATTTTCCTCCTACATAACGAATATAACCACATATATAGTTATGTTTCCTTGCGTAGACCATTTCTTTCGACTTGCATAAACAAAAACAGAACAACATTCCGAGAAATTAAGAAATTAAAAGAAATAATATAAAAGGACCTTTTCACATTATGCATATTTTATTATTGTTATATGTATGTCAACGAAATAATATAAAAGGACCTTTTAAATTTTCTACATTAATATGAAAAATTGGAGCCATGTTCAAATGGTACATTTGTGCATGCTAAAATGGGTCATGAACACTTTACCTTTGGATTTGGGAGAAACAGATAATAGCTCTACTGCCTGATGAGACATGAGAAATATATCAGAGATTGGAGATGACTCAGAACACTGAAATTATCACAAGCTTTCTTATTAGTTTAGGATTATTCTTTGGGGTTTATATAAACATAGATGTTGTATTAGTAATACTTATATATAAACAAAAGATTCGATCCAAGCTAATGTGGATAGAGGTTTGTGTGTGTGTCTGTACTTATGTGTCTTGGACATGTCTTGTCATGCGTAGACGCATTCCTCATTTTATACAAAAGGATCAGAAAGTGTGAGTCTCTATACATTTTTTTATTTCTTTGTTGCTTTCCATTTTTAGTTCACTATCATCCCTTTCTTCACTTACACGGTACCATCTCTACTCAAATTCTCCTTGTTCTTTCATCAATCTGACCTTAAATGTTCTCCGTCTTCATCAGTGGCTCAATAACAGTAGCAAAAACACTAACATTTTTTTTTTCACAGCAAATTGAGGCATCCAGAGAACAGCTTAGAACTCATCTAAGAACTAAGAAGAAAAAGAAGAGTGAAGGTTTATTAAGATAATCAACACCTGTTTTTGGCGAACATATATATTCTCAAACAAGACTATAACATTAGGAAGTTGTAGGCAATTTTCAAAGCTTCAAATGATGTTTATATACACTGTCCTTTATATTAATACAAATTGCCGATTCCCACCAACCTCTCTCTTCACATCACACAACATTTAGCTGGTCCCTTTGGATCTGCCCTAGCTTCCTCGCTACCTGAAGAAACAAGACTTTGATTAGAGCCTGATGGTCTTAAGACTTGTCAAAAGCAAACATTCTCAATCCAAGTTTGTCTATCAAAGGGGTTCAGTAACAGAAAGCAATATCTTATCCAGTCATCCTCATCAATTCGTAACAGTAACTGAAAACCGCATTTGGGGTTTGCAACTATAGAAATTACTTTCTGGGGGTTGAGCTAACTTCCGGTTATGAGATGTCATCATTTCTTTTTTCAGCTTAACCAGTATGTCCTCCATTGTGTATTCTCGCCGCCAATTAGTGAGCATAGGGAAGAGACTCGGTTCAACCTGATTTTATATTTCGATATAACTTGTTAGAATAAGCAAATATCCACACAGTACACACACATATATACCACCAAAGATGTCAAAGGTTATTACCACTCCAGATTCTGGGTTAACACAAGCCATGTTTATCCGGGTCTGGAACCTCACACTTGGTGGACTTTCAGGGTACTCCTTACCACAGAACAGCTTCAGCTGGAAGATTTTCCCTTCGTATGCAGTCTGATATTCGTTTATCACCAAAAACAACATTAATCTTTTCAAAGTCCAAAAGCACAAACCAAAAATTTCCTTCATTTTTGTCCACTCTAATCAATAGTAATCAAGAAATGTAACTACATACCATTTGGAGTAAAGTGTCTTAGATAACACAGCTAACAGTTATATATCAATTCGAGTAAAAGCCACACAACAACTACTTACTTCAGAAACACACAGAACTATTACCCAAAACAGAGAGACAAAAAGTAGAAGAAGACTCCAAAGCATATCCAAAAAAATGTTTGAACACTAAAACACTATCTAACAATTCTCTCTCAGCCAAACGTATTAAAAATTGCATCTTTACTCTATCAAACACAGATAAATCTAAACCAACCCTCAGAGATAGAGAGAGACATACATTAGGAGGACCAAGAATGGTGCCAGTCCAAGATTGCATATAAATATCATCAGCATCATCCATTCCATAGCTTACAGTACCATCTCCAATACCTTTCTCACCTCTTTCAAGCTCTTCCAACAATCTAAAGTTCCTCGGAACTACATCACAAAATCAATCCATTACATATCGCCCAAATCAATCATTTCCAGATCCGATACCTAATCGAGACCATCACATTCTGATTACAAAAGCTCGGAAACAAATCTAATAGTAGATCGAATCATTCAAACAAAAAAAAAAAAACCCTAGATCTCAAAATTCAATTGACGAGAACGATTGATGAAATTGGAAGAGAAATCGACAGGGACTTACCAACGACCTTGGCTTCCTCCGAACTCATCGCCGATGAATATCAGGAACAATAATGAATAATTAGGGTTAGGTGAAAAAGAGAGAGAATTCAGCAATAGCGAAGAAGCAATCTCAGAGATAGGTAGAGAGAGAGAATGTTCAAGTACTGTTTGAGAGCAGAAGAAGGCTTTCTATAGAAATAGAAAATAATAATAATTGGGATATAGAGAGACTTTTGGTTAATTTAGCTACAATAAACATTATAAGGAAAAAAATCATATATATAAAAGGAGGCTATCTCTCTCCATATGATCGCCACGTCAGCATTTTAGGCTCTTCTGGAGATGCCACATCAGTTTTCTTTCTATCCAATCAAAATATTTCATTAATATGAGTCAGCTTTTATTTTTTACACATCAGCTTCTAATTATTATTGTCAAATGGGGAAAACACAATAGCCCATGAGGAATGACCCATATGAATTTGAAAATCTATTTCACAAGTTAATAATATATTTATTATTTAATTATATATATTATTTAATTTTACATATTGATTTTTACTAATACTAACTTATTTGTTATTTATGTTTTTTTCCATGAAATTATTTTATTGGTTTTATATACTCCAAAGTTTTTTTCGCTAATTTTTGTAATCTTAACTCAAAATATGAGTGGATAATAGTATAGTGGATTAGCTAATGGTTTGAGTAAGTTTTTATCTTAATTTTTTGATCTATATATGACACTGAGGGTGAAGAGTACGTAAGGTCATCAAATTTTGGAGGTTCTATAATCCTAACATTACCATCTATAAAATTGGTTTAGGAAAGATTGTTTACGGATTGTGTGAGTGATGCATTGTTGAGTATGCTGGTTGAAAATGTATTTTAATACTAAGAATAGTTGTTCATTGTATGAGTAAATGATTAGATAATTAAAAATTACATTTATCATAATATAACATCAAATAAATCAAAATTAAAAAAAAAACCAGAAAAAACCGCGGCGTAAAGCGGGTGATTAACTAGCAACAAGAACAATCAAAATAATTTGTTATTAACAACTTTTAAAACAAACCCACGCGTAGCGTGGGTATTCATCTAGTATAATATAAATCTCTTACATATTTTGTCCAAAATAAAAAATCTCTTACATATATGTTAAATTCTAAAATTCTTTTCCAAACTAATTTACAAAGTGGTCACTTCTAATATTCAAGTGGATTGTGATTTTTTCAGGGCGTTATTCTTCAGAAAATATATCTGACACATCAGAAACGTATCCATCGGATGAATCGGAATGCTGGTGGTCCGGTGGATATATAGAAATGAATCCGGAGAGCAAATGACTTGGCCGTTGAGGACTTTGTTCAATCGGAACGCTAATCACCATCCTGTTCAATGATACCAGTATGTATCCAAAAGTCCTCTCGTGTTTCCCGTGACTCGATTTACATACGGCGACCTCTTTGCCTATAATTTTCTTGACATTGACCACCATCACTGCGTGGTCTGTGTCAAAATAAGTGGCTTGCAATCAATGGAGTGGAGAAAAAGTGTGGTTCTTTTTTAGTGATCAGTATCCTTCATTTTATATAGATCCACATGAACGAGACAAACAAAAAAATGAAAAAAAAAAACAAAATGGTCATTTCTAATATTCAAGTGGATTGTGATTCTTCCAGGTTGAATTTTGTGAATTGAATTAGAGGTCTCAAATTTTGAAAAATGTTTTCTACTGATTAATCTCATATGAATATAAACAGTGAGTCATTGATTCTAGAAAAAAAACAAAATACATGAGTTTTGAACTCTGTACAATTGAAGTACGTGAATATGCATGATCAAGTAGTTGATATTTGTATGTAATCTCTCAAAAGACTTTATTAAGATGAGAAGTTTAGTTGTAGCAAAATCAAGTTTAAGAGGCATTAAACCATCTAGATTATGTGTAAAATATGTTAGATATTTTATTTATTTATTTTGGAAGCTATAAAATGAAAATACCTCATTTTCTTTTATTTTGTAACCACGTTAAGATGTAAAATTAAAGCCTTTCATTTTCAAGTTATTTATCCGCTAAACTTTAAACATTTTCTTTATCATTTCTCTAACCAACATGTGGATGTGTTCTACAAGTTAGAGGAACTTTGAACAATGGTTAGAAGTTCGGAATAAACCCTAAAATGGTAATATTGTCTTTAAATGTCAAACTTTTTTTATAAGTTTCCAACTTCTAAATATGCATTAATTTTATTTTCATATCTTACAAATTATTAAAATATGACAATGTCATTAATAATAAATTAGAATTGATTTATATCATTTGCACAAGTGAACTTTTTTGTAGGCTTTGTTTTTTATAGTTCAAAAAGTTCTTTCTTTATTTATAAAACTACGAAATTTATAGCATGCAAATCATTAGTTTTATTTTGATAAAAATAATATCAAATCATAAATTAAAAAAAATTAAAATAAAATCTTAAATGATGAAATATGTTAATTTATAGATAAATTAATACCACTACAAATTAATAAACTATCATAGTCCCGATATTATTAATTTATAGAAGTTTTACTGTTAAACAATATCTAACCAACGTTCCATAAAAATGTCAATCTAATGAAATTCTTAATTTTGTTAAGGTAGAAAAATCATGTTAACAAAAAAAAAAAGTGGAAAATATCCATATTCCAAACATTTTATTTTATTTAGTTTGTTAATAATAAATAAAATAAAATCCCATTTAACCTAAATGTAATTGAACACAAGAATTAATTTTTTTTTTTTTTTTTTTTAAAATCAAAATACAATCTCCAATAAATGTTTAGTAGTAAGAACTAAAAAAGATGTGCAACTAGTAATGGTCGTCAAAACAACATTCCTAGTACAAGTTAATCAAATTTTGATTCAGACCTCAATCTTCTTAACCTTTCGATGGCTTTATTTGCTTTTCTTATCACCTGCTCTGTTTTTTTGAATGACGCCTTGGCCTCCTTTTTCAAATCCTCTTCCCAATACACTTCTTTTTTGTTGTTAGGTGATGATTTGTTTGGAGTATGTCTTAAGCAACCCATGGCTTGTGCTGGAGATAACTTATCAAACCATGATGTTAAAAACTTCGATTTTGATTTTGATTTCCAGTTCGATCTTTCTTTTAGGTTTTGATCAGATGATAGTGAAGCTACGTCAATGGAAGTAGATGAAGTTGAGCTGATTCTTGATTTCTCTTTAGGAAGAAGCTTCAGGGTTTGTGTTGTAGTCGAAATCTTACCTTCTCGAGAATATCTTGATGAACTCGAACCGATTCTCTCTGAGAAGTCTCCAAGCCCACCTCGTGAATTCATACTTGGATTATGTTTGATTCCTGAGAAAATCTGTGTTTCCTTTACATATGAATCCAAAGGACAAGACTTTCCGGAGAAATCAGAAAGAGCAGAAACAGAGGACACGTTTCCACAAGAAAATCTCGATGAACTCGAACCAATTCTCCTAGAACCTGAAGATTCTACAAGCCCATCTCGTGAACTCACTCTCTGATTAAGTTTGGTTCTCGAGAAAATCTGTGTTTCCTCAACAGATGAATCTAAAGGACAAGACTTTCCAACTTGGTTCGAAAAAGAAGAAACAGAGGAAACGTTTCCATGGTTCTTCTTCTCAGGGTAACTTGCCATGCTCTTGGACTGAGAGAGAAGCTTCTTCTTCGAGGACGTAGAAACCGAGTCGGATCTAGAAACCGGAAGAGATTTGAGACGACGGAAACGGGTTTCGAGATTAGAGGGAAGAGCAGAGTCGTCGATGAAGCCAGAGCAGTTGATTTTCAAGAACGTAGTGATCTTTAGCTTGTGAAAGCAGATCCTCCACAGCTGAATCGTCTTTACCAGAGAAAAATCTTGACATCTTCGTCGATTTGGTTTAGGGTTTTGGAGTTTTCTTCTTGTGGGAGAGTGAACGATGAAACTATGATTCTTCTAATTTATGCTTTTGACCATGCATTTATAATAATTCTTCTGGCTTTGAATTCTTTCTATTTTTGTCTTCTAAATTCCCTTTTTTATCCGTTAAAATTATGTTAAATTTCCATTTTCATAATTTGTAATTGAATGCGTATATATCTATACACTCAGTAATTTCCTTTATTTTGCTATGTAGGGTCACTACAAAATTGACATGTATTTATTAATTTATCTTCAAAACGAGTTTCCTTTCAAAAAAAAAGATAAAGAATGTACATATAAAGCAGGGCATGATGTCATGAGAAAACCCTAATCGATTAAAAACATCACAAGGAGAATGTATCATCGACAGAGTGAAAAGGAGTATAAGAAGCATGAGGAGGAGGAACGACTATAAGAAGTATTAAAAATCCCAATCTTTTCAAAATTGTAGTTGTAGAAACTATGGAAAATGTGGAGCCGCCAAATGAGAGACAGAGACTCATGGCCAGAGATGCAACTTTCTACATCAAATACACGTACCCAAGTATGGGTCATCGCTTAGCCTGCGTTAGAAGACTCATGAAGGAAGACAGAAGGCATTGAACCTGACTCAGGAGAGTTTACATGGGGCACACCTAACCAATTGAGCTAATACATCTTATAATATTGTTATTAACTGAGTAATTATTAATAGTGAGTATGGGGCACGTGCCCCACCTCAACACACTGTAGATCCGCCACTGTCCCTGAATATTATTTATAAATGTGTTACGAGTTAAGATATTACTCGTCTTTAGAATTTTGAGCTACATGGTCCTAAAAATATATGGACTTAAATTTCCTAGTAGTCGATTAAGTATTGAATCAGTCAGACCTGGCCTTCTTTGACATTTTGACGAGTTTTTAACATTATTTTCTTTTGCTTCGACTCTTCTTCGACTCTCTTCTTCGCCTTCTTGAATTCTTCTTCCCAAAACAATCCTTCTACGCAGCTCTCTTTTGTCTTTTTGCTTTTGGATGAAGACTTGCCTTGTAAGCAACCCATGGCTTGTGCTAGGGGTAACTTATCAAACCATGATCTTAAAAACCTCGATTTCGATTTCTCTTTTTGGTCCAGATAAGATGATGGGGAAGCTGAATCAATGGAGGTTAGTGAAGTTGAACTGGTTCTTGAGTTCTGTTTAGGACGAAGCTTCAGGGTTTGTGTTGTTGGAGTCAAAAACTTAGGGTTTATCCGTATTGTTGAACTATAGCCAATTCTCCCAGAATCTGAGAAATCTCCGAACTCACCTCGTGAATTATTCTCAAACCTCGAATTTACACTCGTATCACGTTTGATTCCGACAGATGAATCTAAAGGACAAGAGTTTCCAGTTAGATTTCCCGAGAAACTTGAAAAAGAAGAAACAGAGGAAACGTTTCCACGACTCTTCTTCTTAGGGTAACTTGCCTTGCTCTTGGACTGAGAGAGAAGTTTCTTCGAGGAAGACGAAACAGAGTCAGGTCGAGAAACCGGAAGAGATTTGAGACGACGGAAACGGGTTTCGTGATTAGAGGGAAGAGCAGAGTCGTCGGTGAAGCCAGAGCAGTTGATTTTGGCGACTTGTTCAAGAACGTAGTGATCTTTAGCTTGTGAAAGCAGATTCGCCACAGCTAAATCGTCTTTACCAGTATTAAAAATTGGCATCTTCGTCGATTTGGTTTAGGGTTTTGGAGTTTTTTCTTGGGAGAGAGAACGATGCTATGATTCTTCTTCCACGCAAGAGCTAATTCATGCACTTATAATAATCATCGTCTATAGATTCTTTCTATTTTTGTCTGCTAAATGTCCTTTTTTTTTCTCTGGTAAAAATATGTTAATTGTCCATTTTCATAATTTGTAATCGATCGAGTTATGAAGATAATTGTAGAATTGACTTAGATATATATATATATATATATATATATATATATATATATATATCTTCAAACGAAATTCCTTTTTTTTTTAATAATAAGTATATATTCAAAAAGTAAAAATTTTAGAAAATACAGAAAATTGACAATAAATAATACTTATACAAAGAAGCAATTATTCAAACAAGGCCTCTTGTTATCCAGTTTTCAGTAACAATATCAAAAACTAAATTGAAACTTGAAAATAAAATGGTTTATAATATAAATGTAAGAACAATATTAAGCTTTTACAAGATAAAAGTAGAAATTCTACAAAACCAAGGGCCTCTCAACTGAAGAAGTTTTACCTTTTTAACCAAAAAGTATCAAAAACTTTCGCTATCTTTCTCAAAGTTTAAGGCTTTTCAGGGATCTCCTTGTGTCTCCATCTTCTTGCTCAACCTGAAAAAGACATACATATGTAAGAAAACATCGAAATCGTAGACACAACAACATCTGCTTGCAAATTATTTAAGCTATCTTGTGGAATCTCACCTCAACAACTACTCTTGATTTCTTCTTTGCTTTTCGGTTATCATCAGACTTCTTTAAAGCTCTTCTTTTATGAATCACAACTTGTTCTTCAGCATCATCGTTCTCCTCGTCATCCGAGTCTGTAGAGAGTTCACGATCGGGTTAATATAGTTTCTCAAAATGCATGGATTCAATTATTGAGTGAAAATAGTGAAAAGAAGAAAGAAACAGGAGGGAGATGAATATTACCATGATCATCACCTTCAAGGTAAGACTCCTTAGATGGAAGACCAGAGAAGTCTTCCATGTCTTCTTCTTCTTCCTCTGCTTCGAGTTCATCATCGCCTTCAACATATTCAACCACTCCTTCCTGAGATATAATTTAATGAATGAAGATCAGTAGAAAGAGGTTGCATATAGGTTTGATGGACTACCAAAATTACACGGCTTATACAAAAGTACCTCCTCCTCTTCTTCCTCAACTTCTTGGTTGAGTTCGATTTCTTTATTAAGAATTTTGTTAAACGCACGATCTGAGATATTGTATATGTCAGTAGGGTAAATGCCTGTCTTCAAACGTTCCATCAACTCGTTTTCAATAGCCTGTAAAAAAAAGAATCAGCACTATCATGAGAACCTCAGAACTACAGTTAAGCAAGTAAATCAAAACATAAAAACAACAAATCGTGACCTTATCCAACTGAGCTGCTATTTTAGCCTTATCCTCTCTTCTTAACTCCCTCTTTATTTGCCTCCTAGGCCTAGGGATTATTACCTCCCTGTCATTCAAAAACAAAAGCACAAAATAATTAATCACAACAAGAAAATAACTAGACACTTGTAAATCAAACAAGATACCAAACTACCCAAACAAAAACCAGAAGGGGACAAGACCTTGTTTTCAGAGCAAGTTTCCTCATACGAATACGCATATGAGTCATTTTAGTCAGTCTTCGTTTAACCTTATGCTGCAACAACTTGGGCCAGTACAACTGCCACACGCAAGAAGAAATGAATTAAGACCCACCAAATCATAAGACATTGACATTGCTAATGAAGAAGAAGAGTAAAGAAATAAACAGTGGCAATAAATCTCAAGCTCACCAAGTGTTTGTCAATCATTTCAAGAGCCATCTCATAGTTTACAGGCAGCTTAACTATCTCCCACAAGTTCTTTGGCATGTGAGCTCTCTCAATAGTCTTCATATATAAATAAAACACTCCTGAGTAAACAACAACAACACAAGAGAATCCATTTGTAAGAAACCACCACAACAACACTAAACTCAAAAGAAACATCTTTCTAATTACCCTTTACTACATCAACTAAATCAACACCCAATCCTAACTATTCCAACACACAGAATCAGCTCAAAGATTGACTCTTTTTAGAAATTACCATCATGGTCACGGATAGTGGCGTATCGGCTATTAGCAAGAGGGCAAGAGCTTTCATTACAGATTCCGGTTACGTTATATTGATTTCTGCAGAAGATTCCAGTTTCGAATCTACAAAAGCAGAAGAGAACAAAACAAACCCATCAACATATTGAGATACAGCTGAAAATTGAAAGCTGAGAAGTGAGGATTAAAAGACATACTTGGCCATGTAACTGCAGTGATTGTGCCCGATGACCTGCCATATAACCTTATCGTGTTGCATCTTTCACGGTGAAGCTTGAAATCAGCTAAAGGGTTTAGCTTTCGGGAGAGATTTTAGGGTTTATGAGAGAAGATGAAGAAGAAGGACGGCGGCGAGCAACTGTCGTCGAAAAAACTCGAAGGGAAGTAGTTCACTACACTTGATTATTAGGGTTTCATCTTTATGGGCCTCATAGCCCAAATCTTAAAGGCTGAAACTCTATAAGACCCAACTTATTAAAAAGCCCAAAAGATATAAAACCCTAGCTGTTTATTCCTCCTCTCTATATAAAAACCCTTATAGCTCATTTCTTTTCAAAACCCTAGATCTTAATCCCAAAAATGGCGACGGCGTTGAAGAAGAACAGAAAGAAGAGAGGACACGTCAGCGCCGGTCATGGACGTATCGGAAAACATCGCAAGCATCCCGGAGGTCGTGGAAACGCAGGAGGTATGCATCACCACCGTATCCTCTTCGACAAGTACCATCCAGGTTACTTCGGCAAAGTTGGTATGAGGTATTTCCACAAGCTTCGTAACAAGTTCTTTTGCCCAATCGTGAACCTCGACAAGCTCTGGTCACTTGTTCCTGAAGACGTGAAGGCGAAATCGAGCAAGGATAATGTTCCGTTGATTGATGTGACGCAGCATGGTTTCTTTAAGGTTTTGGGGAAAGGTCATTTGCCTGAGAACAAACCTTTCGTTGTGAAGGCTAAGCTTATCTCTAAGACTGCTGAGAAGAAGATTAAGGAAGCTGGTGGTGCTGTTGTTCTCACTGCTTAGGTTTTTCAATTCAGTCTCTTTTTAAGTATTATTTTCATGTTTTTGAACTCAGCTTTGTTGGATTTTGGAATCAGAGATCTTTTAATCTATGGTATTGGATTACATAATTGCTTTGTGTTATTGGGAAATTTTGATTGGTTTCTATGATTTGTTGATTTGATTCATCTCTGCATTTACAATTGTGTCATGTTCTTCATGTTCATTGCCTCTTATTTCATATAAGAGCATTTTACAACAATGTCTTAGATTGATCAATTTTGGGAATCACTGTGTTCTTCTGGCATGATTGTTTTGGTGTAGGCCATTTTGTTTATTATGAATTTGCAATGACTTGTTCAGCCTTTGATTGTATTCACCATTTTGAATAGTGTCATCTTCTTCACATTTGATCTCTTCAATCTCTTCTCCTATATCTGTTTGGCCCCTCCATTTCCTTATTCTAGCTTCTGCTAATGAAGCCTGGACATTTTATACAAACGTTAATAATACCACAGAAACTGATACTTAATTGACAAGGATTGCTTCTTTACCTCTCTGTTCCAGTTGGTTCTATAGATTATCAAAAGTAGAACACATGTCCTGTTAGCATTCCTGTCCATATCCCCTGTATTTGTGTGTGTATTCAGATCAACTCCAAGCTTAACATATATGCAAGTTTTTTTTATCGAGATTGGGTTTTGAGATTATACTTACCTTTACTCCAAGTTCCATCTTGTAGCCGAGCACTAGACCAGTAGTTATACCACATAAATAGTAACACCCAACGTTCACATAAGCAACGATCCCTTGCCATCCAGCTCCAACTGCGACACCTTTTGTACCCCTATCGAAAACCAAAACACATTTTAACTTGGACATAGTAGCCTTAAAGTTGATGCAGTATATGGTTGATATGTTGCATAAGAATCTCACCAGAAAGAACAGGCTGAATGTTGTTGATGACGATTGTGAGAGCCAGCTTTGGAATCAGCTGCTTCACGTGTCCTCTCACTTCTTCATCATCAGAGAAAATTTCTGGATACTTGTCTCGTACCACGATGAGAGTCATTGATATCATAGCTCCAATTGATACAGAAGTTATCATTGCCACTATCAACAAGAATTTCGCCCTTCTTGGGTGTTCAGCTCCAAGCTCGTTTGACACTCTTACACTGCACATATAACATATTTTTCCTCATCCAATTGTTAATCTTTTATTTTTCTCAGTCTTTGTGATGTACCTCACAGCTGCATTGAAGCCAAAGGCCACCATGATCGGCCATCCCAATTTGTTCATGCTGTAACCCAAAATCGTTAATTCTGTTCTTAACTAAAAGTCTAAAACACAAGCTTCATTGAGACTTAGATAGAACTCACCAAATGGAAAGAGCAGCCACAGAGACTTGAGGGTTCTTGAGGTAACCCGCAAACAGAATCAACGCCTTCAAATACCAAACCTCTGGGCTGAAACCAACAAACATTAAGGTCACTAGGTGTACTCATCAATGAACCATTATGTATCGATCTGATTCCAAAATGTTCCGATATCTCACCAAACCATGACTGCAGAGGCAAGAGACAATCTTGCAAAGCCTCTGAGAATATTCTTGAAAGCCTTCCATGAGAGCCCTGACCAAGCTCTGCCACAAGAACCACCACAAATATATACTATTTGAGCAACATCTATTAACCACCACGACACATTCAATACAACAGCTCCTCCGGCCATTCCCCATCCGAGTTTCAGCATCAGAAACCAACTCAACAGAGTGTGCTGTAACAGCACGGTCACTGCTATAACCGCCATTGCAATCACCTTGCTTTGTGCCTATAATAATTAACCAATCTCATAACTAAACAAGTTGAATTTACCTTAAGTAAACTGATTTTGATGTTGTTACCTGCAAGAACTTGGCGGTGGCGAAGTAGTTGACAGCGTAAGCAAAGAGCTGAGGAATCAGCCAAAGGGTGGATTAACTAAAAGTTTTGTAACGTTACTGATTCATGTCTTAGATATATATGCGTAAAAGTTATATTTACGTAATGAAGTTTAATTATTACCATAAGGCCGACAGAGAAGCCGGGGATGACGGAGTTCTGTATGGAGACGGCAGCTAGAGCCAGCGTGTTGACGTGTCCGGCGAGGATCTGAGTGACGGCGAGTATTGGCAGAAAGATGTGAATATCGCAGGACCCGCGAGCCACCACAGCTTCTTTGACTCGGCCGCAAACTGCCGGAGGAAGTCTCTATCACCGGAGATCGGAGGCATGTCGGTGTCGGATGTGGTATGTGTTTGATGTTCTTGTTCTGAGGAGATAGTATCTTCATGATCAACGTTGAGAGTTTCCATAAGTCTTACGAGCTAAAGATAGATAGTAATATCTTAGACATGCATGCATAATAAATAATGCATATATTTTTTTTATTTTTTTTGATAAATTCTATCGGTTCATTCGGTCGGCCTCGCACTACAAAAAAAGGGGTGATTAACGTCAGTTTTATTGTGTCAAAAAATTAACTGACACAAATTCGAATTAATTAATAATAAGTGACACTAATTTGGCAGTTCAACATCATTTCTAATAAGTGATGTAAATAGCACCTGATTTATGACGTTTGTTTGAAATTGATGCTAAATAATCTAAATTTGCATCACTTTTAACAAGCAACACTAATAATTCGTATTTGTAACAGTAATATAACTGATGCTTTTGCAAATTTTTTCGTATTTTTAATAAAAAAAAATTTGCATCAATAACAAGTAATACTAATTTAACCTCAATTATAAAACAGATGCATGTATGTGACTTAATTATTATTGTTTGGTCATGTTAATATAATATAATAAAACATTAACTAAATAAGAATAATATTCTACCCATGTGAATAGAGTAGACTCAAATTAACGACAAAAATACAAAATGACTCTTGCAAAGCCCATCTAAGTAAAGCCCATATATGTTCATCTTCTCTTCCGCCGTTGGCCATTACACATCTGCTCTTCTTCGATTTTGCTTCAGTTTTGTTTCCAAAAGAATATTAAAGTAGATGCAAATCAATTTTCTTTGTTTCCTTTGTTTGTAATCCATTGTTGGATTGAGAGTACGGTGATTTCCGATGATTCCAAGCTCCGCCGCTTTTATCACGATGCCTTCGATAGAGCAAGAAGCAGTCTTCGATTTGATTAACTATCTATGGATGATTTTGATTTGTGCTTTGGAAATTTCATGAAGAGCAAAGAGAAGCCTCTTATTGGCAGATGAGTTACTCTCTCTCTCTCTCACTTATACTAAATATTTATAATCACAGATCTGAACAAACTATGAAGAAAATATATATGTAATTATCTTCTTTTATGTAATTCATGTCCTATCTTTGATATATTTGATGTTGGGTTGGTGAATCTACAACTGATTTTATTTTTGATTAAATTGAATATATAATTTTCTGATCGTGGCTAAGAATTCTCCCAGCACCGTTCATGTAACACTTAATAAAAATATATATATATATATATATATATGTGAAAACCTAAAATATTTCATTTAGATTCCCGCAAATTTCTAACCTTAAGCGGGAGTGGTATCATAATTCTTAGGTATCTCAAGCGTCAGTTACTCGTCCATATATATATTCACCTTAAAATTATTTTGATATAGCGTTTTTCAAGAGCAACAGAGAGGATCACCAAGTTTCAGAAATCTGAGTACAACTCTAAATAAGGTAATTCTAGTATTTCATCTCTTTAATTTTCAGATTCATTGATATTTGATTGTCGTTTTATGATTGATCTCTTAAACAAATCACACCTAGCTTAGTTTTCATTTTCTAATTTGTAATTCAAAAGCATGATTATCTCCTCTTTGTGTTGTTTGACTTGATTGTTTGTGAAACTTTAAATTCTCTGTGTACGACTTGGAAAATTTATCATTTTCTTAGTTTATATCTTTGAAACTCAAATTCACACCATCGTTTGTTTTGTTTGTGTGTGTTGGATGCTTTGATAAACATACATAATTATAGAAAGAGTTAGTAAATTATTAGTCAATTTGTAAAATCTTGCAGAACTTAATCTCTTGAAAATCACATCTCCCGATAGTTATATATAGAGAGGTAAAGAAGTAGAGACGAATTTAAACTAATAACATATCTACGTATTTCTTATTTTAACCTAGGTAATTATGGATAAGTCTTGGATAGACAAACCTCGTTTAAGTGATGACTATACAAAAGGAGTGAAAAGTTTCTTAGATTTTGCATTTGGCAAAATTAAGGTGGACATGTTGAAATGTCCTTGTAATCGTTGCTGTCTATTCAAGTCTAAGTCGAGAGAGGATATTGAAGGCGATTTAATGTGTTTTGGATTTCTAAGTTCTTACACTAATTGGGTATTACATGGAGAAGAAATTAGTGTGGTTGAAAATGCAACTGAAACACTTGCTGGGGGACACGCAACTCCAGTTGAATCAGCTCCAGCTGAATTTGATTTAACTGCAGAACTTTTGGATGATCTCTTCCCTAACATCGACATGAATACGTGTTATGGACTTGAATGCTTATAATCCTTCTTGTCCAGGTTATAATTAGTCCTAGTTCGTTCATTATCATTGACTTGATTGTGTTAAACATGTTTCTATGCATATTTCTTCCATCACTTAAGATCTTTATTATATTTTCCAGTACTTAATAGTTTTATTTATTTCATGTGTAGAGTTATGAATTTCACGGATTCAGAGACGCAACCGCCGGAAGATGTGCCACTTTCACAGATGGAGTTCAGTGGTCCGCATGAACTTGCACCAGAATGTAACAGCTTCAAATGGAAAGTAAAAATCATAGGTAAAGTTAATATATTATAATTCTAAATTCATGGTAGAAACGTTTGTTATACTCCTCATCAAGCACCTAATTTTGTTATTTTGATTATGGATCGTGTCGCTTTAATAACTAAAGAAGTGTTTGATTATTTAATAGATGCCAATGGAGAAATAGAACAACAAACATTGACGACTAAAGATATCTGGAAGTTGCAAAACCGCAAAGTCATTGTCCATTTTGATGAACGCAATGGCCAACCTGATGAAGACTCTGGAGGTTTATTAGGGTCATGGTTGGGCCAATTGAGTCATGATGTTAATTTGTTACCTATTGACTACAGTGATTGGAGATTATATCCTCTCCACATAAAGGAAAGAGTATGGGAACTAATCCAGGTAACAATAATTAATATTATTTTGTAATATTTTGGTTATATAATTGACTTTCTGAAAACTCATTGTTTCTTTAAAGCATATGTAATAATTTTTTTGATTCTAAATTACAGACAAAATTCTGGTTCGATAGACCGGAAGCAAGAAAGGACTATGTGCTTAGTGTATTAGGGAGCAGATGTAAGGATGTTAAACGTAATCTTTGGAAGATCTACAAACGAAATGATCGAAGTGAAACAATGCTAAATCGTCCCACCGTAGTACCAGATGATCAGTGGCGAAATTTTGTGACAGTGAGATTCACTGAAAAATGGAAGGTATGTTTCTATATTAATCTAATATATACTGTGTGAAATGCAAATAACTTCCTGGTAATGAATTTGAATTGAAAGAATATGCGAGAACGGAATATCAAGAACCAAAGCAAGAATACTATACCACATCTTTGTGGAAGAAAGAGTTTTGCGAGAAAACGACGTGAAATTGTAAGTAGCTTATATTGCTTACTTTGGTGATTCTCATACTTTTTCATATATATTTTGTTGTATATTACTTAATTGTTATATGGTGCCTTAATAGAATAATTATTGGTTGTAGTTCTTATTAATAATAAGCTCTTGCACATACATATATAATGAGTCTAAGGATTTATTTAAATAATGTCTGCTCTTTAATCATTTTTAATGTATCCGTAGGAAGAACAAACTGGAAAAACACCGTGTCGAGCAGAATTTTTCATTACAAGTCGCATGAAACCTGATGGAAGTTTTGTATGTGAAGAGGCAAAAAACCGTGCGGTTAGTTTTTTTATATAAATGCATTGTTAAGCTAATATGCTTAGTTTTATCAATGGTTATGCTTGTTTATATCTTGATTAAATATTTCAGGATGAACTCACACTCTTGATGAGTCAAAATCCTTCAGCTGGAGGGTCAAACAATATCACCGCAAGTTTGGATGATGAATACTCCAAAGTATTTGGTCCAGAGCGTTCAGGACGCGTCCGTTGTGTCGGACGTGGACCTACACCTTCAAAATTGCCGAAATGTTCTCCTACTCCAATATTAGATGCAACAAATTCCGAAGTTGTTGAGTTGAGGTCACAAGTTTCAGGGTTGCAAAGCCAAGTCCAGAACTTGGCTGGAATTATTCAACAATTAGTTGGTGCCTCTACTACTCAGGTAAATTTATGGTGCTTAGTTTTTCATGTTATAATAGTGTGTTTTATTGTGAACTAATGTTACTGTATGTATAGACAACTGGATCGACAACTGGATCGACGCCAAATTTAGCTGCTCTGTTAGCAAACTTAGCCAATCAGCCAAATTTTACTACTATTTTATCGAGCTTGGCCAATCCACCAAATTCTCAGGTATTTTTTTGAAATCTTTTATGTCTTCACTTGTTTAATTCATCATATCTCCTCAACTCTCTAATATTCTATTTGATATCGAAATATCTGTGAAGAACTAGTCAGGAGAGAGTAGTCTGACATAATTTATTGTTAATTGGGTTGTTCATAGGCAATGCAAGAAGGACATGAAAATCGGAACGTGGGCAACTCCGGTACTTAGGATTACAAGATCTGGTTATATTAAGTTCATTAGCTATATTTCTTTGTGGATTATGTGTTTGCTTTCTTTAAACAGTGATATCTACATTTTGTTACATTCAACTAGGTTTTATATTTGATGCATTTTTATTTTATCACGTATTTAATAGATTTGATATATTATTTACAAAATAAAAAAGTCTATTACTTCGATTGTAGAAGTGATGCATAACCATTAACGACGATTATATAAAGTGATGCAACAACAATTTGTTAGAATCAATTACAATAAATGATATAAATATTTTTTATCATTTTTTTATAAACGTCACAAAAGTTAATATCAACTGTGATAAACTGATACAATTTATTTCATCGTTTATACTAACTGATGTCACTATTAATATCACATATTTTAAATGACACAAGTTTACCATCACTTGTGAAAGCTGACGCAAATTATTTACATCAATTATTAAAACTGTTAGTAAATATTTACATCAGTTATTGTAGTCGTCGCAATATTTACATCATTTCTTATAACTGACGTATTGTAGCATCATTCGTTATAATTGATGGAAATGTTGTTATCGGTTGCTATAACCGATGCATTAATTTGCATCGCCACTTTTGATATCAATTATATAAGTGATGGTAACTCATTTGTATCATTCGATAACCGATGTAAGTATAGAAAATAAGTGATGCTATCCACATGTTTTTTTTGTAGTGTCGGTAGGAACGCACCGACGTACTACAGAGTGGACTTCTCCCGATCCATGTAGAATTGGGCCACCACACTGCATGATCCGAGTTTGGAATACCTTCCGACTAATGCCAGGGGGTAGTCAGACCGCCTGCATTTCTGACTACCAGGTAAACCAATTGGGCCAAGCTGACAGACTTCCCAAACAAATGTGTTTTTGTTTTCAGGAAGAAACGAACTCGGATCTGGGAATTTCACCCTTCACCAAAGCTTCATCTGCCACTAGACCAGAAAGGCTTGGGCATAATGCATATATTTATATGTCTATGATAGCGTATAGATAAATATAAAGTTTTATAAGTAATTAAGCATACTAGGTTCTAAAAATTTAGTTAAGGCTTGTCAAGATTCTAGTATTGTTCCATAATTCAGAGATGCAATGGAGTGTACGATCGAGGATAAAGTGGTCTAACTTTTAGTGACCTTTATCACCCAATTTTACTTTCTGAAATTAGTTGACTGAACTCAAGTCATTTGGTATCTATCTTTCAAGTATTCAACATTGAGCAATTGAGCATTATTATAAAAATTAATATTTACTAATTGTCTAATAGCATCATGAACGGAAATACAACCGGAAAATTATAGTTTGCTTATAATTGGTCTGTGGAAACTGCAAAGCACATTTAAATGCATTTGGAGCAAGACAGAAAATTTTCAACCATAAAAAAAAGGAAACGACGTCATTCTATAAATCACCAAATGACGACATCTTTCTATAAAAAAACAAAACAAATATAAATCAAATTAATGCAATTTATAATTCGATATAAATTATCTAGATAATATTCTTTTGTCAAAAGAAAAAGAATTGTCATCTAATTTACCAGAAACTATTTTAAAGATCAGAAACATTCATTGCCATGAAAAAACAAAAGCTAACAAAATTCATAACCAAAAACCTCTACAAAATCTACATTCATTAATCAAGGGCTAATTGCAGTTTTAAGAAAAAAAATCTAAATCCTTTTATGTTTAAATTACTTTTCACAACAAAAAATTTCATCCTTATTTGAAACCCTTGTTTGAAAATCGCTAGGCGCTAGTCGGACGCTCAGTATGGGCCTAGCGATTAATCGGAAAATCGGATTAAAATCGTTGATTAGTTTTAGGGTTATTTTAATATTTTTAAAACATATTAATCTAATATTGTTTTCATAATTGCAGTAAAGACATATATAAAACTGTATTTTTAAGACAAATTTTTATGATTTTTATTACAAATTTATGATTTTTATTAAAGTTTGAACATAAGTTATTGTAAAACATCACAAACTCCCAATTTAAATGATTGAATAACAAAAATAAAAAGTTTTTTTCATACTTGGAATCTAAAAATAATCGGGATATGTAAGATTAGGCGGGGAGTAATCGGATTAAACGAAAAGTAATCGGATTAGGCGGAGAGTAATCGGGTATCAGCTGCTCTGCAAAAGTATATTGGAAGTCTTGGAGGAATTGGAACTTCGGGTGTTGGTTCAAGCTCTTCATATTCCCCAAAAGAACTGAACAAAGAAATAACGCCAGAAAAGGTAGACTTTTGACTCAAGTTGAAGAAATGATGTTCGTCACTGTTTATAAGGAGTCTAAAGTAGAAGTAGAACTGCAAGGATATTTATTGCTTTAGTAACAATGGTCAAACTATAGTAAGACAAAGATTTCTTTAGGAGATTAGTCATTAATCGAGGCGGATAGGATGGACCTAGCGATTAAGCGGGGAGTAATCGGAGTAGGCGGGAATTTTTAGAACGTGAAACTAGTTTGTGACACACGACATCATTTTCTGTTATTTTTTTTGAAGAACGTCAATGCTAGAAAAATACTAGCATATAAATTTTCTTTTTAATTAGATTATCTTTAATTTAAACTGCATCACTAGTTAGTCAGTAAATCTAGAGATATTGTTAATTCGTTCGTAGATAAAACAATTTAAAAAAAAATACAAACAAAGTAAGATATGTCCTAATTGATTGAACATATCCGGTTAAGTGCTTGTCGTCGTCGGAAGCCCTGTTGCTATGGAGTCGTCCTTGGTAGCGTCAGGTTTGTAGTCTAGATTTCGTGTCTCCTGTGTACCGTCCGGCTAAGATCTCTTTTTCTCCGACAATTTCCGTTTTGGGCTTTGTCTCTTTTGTAACCGTGATTTGTCTGTAACCCAAAAGCCAAAAGCCTATTTGGGTTGATAATATAATTTTAAAATTAAAAAAAAAAAAGAAAAGAAAAGATATGTCCTAATTAACAATACCTGAATCCATATGCTTAACATCAGTGGATGAGTTTGTCCTTGATGCAACAGTTTGGACTTTGAAACATGTTGTTTCTTCTTCTCATAATCGCAGTTGAGGCCGAAACAACTCGATCACATAAACGATATTAAAACATTGAAACACCAAAACGAGAAAAAAAACATCAAACAAAATTATTATAAATCGATAAGTAGAGTATTGAGTAATCTTTGCCTCATCCCAAGTTGCTTGCATCAAAAACAAAAACAAAAAAATCACAAAGTTTGAAAACTAATTGTTGGCGCCACCAGAGAAGAATGATCTCCGCCTCTCCGGCGTTTAGGTTTGGGAGCCGGCGGACATTCTAGCGGCTGCGGAATCCTAAACTCCTCTGCTTTAGGCGTTGTGCACTCTTCCTCCTCTTCCTTCTCCGGCTTCGTCACAGGACAATTAACCGGCGACAGAATCTTGATCAGTTGGTCTCCATTAACAATTGGCTTCTTCTCCAATTCTGCTACTTCTCTGTTTTCTTCTTTACCCTTCTTATTACTCTGCACCTCTTTTCCCACAAAATCCATAGCTTACCAAAATTTTCTTTTATTAACAATTTTTTCCTTTTTGTTTTGTTTCTTTAGTTTGTGGAAGCTTTGTCGTATGTAACTTTGGTGCTTCGTTGATTAAGAAAAAAAAAAAATCAGTGAGGATTTTAAGCAAGGATTAAGAATAAATAGACTATATCACAGTTTGGATTTATCATATTAATTAATTAAAGAAGTATTAAGTCGGATTTTTTCTTCATAATCAAAAATAAACTAGGACATGGATTATTTTTTTCTTTATTATAATTGCATAATTACAAATTTCACATTACGTACGTACCACATAAAAAAAAGGTATCGCATAAACTTCATTTCATTGAGATAAAGATTTAATCTGTTTCCAATTGAAAATAGAAGTATAGAGCGAAAGAGAGAGAGTTTATAGAATAGGACAAAGAGAAAGAGTGTACTACAGAGATTTAGTTTTAAAGAGTGTAGCAGAACACAATAGTCGTTCACAAGAACTGAAGAAGTAATCACATTCTCGAATAACCAACGTTATTATCGTACTGAGTCATGAACTCGTCGTTGAACTTCTTGAAGCTATCCATGATCTCCGGCATCTCTTCTTCCGCTGGCAGGATCGTTGTCCTCAGATGGAACACGCTGTCAAAATCCACAAGAGGTATGAGTTCATAAGAAGAGATCAAATGAGCAAGAACGGAATCGTATTTGGAGATTCTTTACCCTTCTTTCTGTCCAAATCCAGAGCCAGGGACTGTGGAGATTCCTGTGGCTTCTAAGAGCTTCAGACAGTAGAAAACGTCTGGCACTTTTCCAGCTTGTTTTGCAGCTTGGATAGCTCCCGGTGGTAACCGTATTTGAGGAAACGAATACATTGCACCTAGCATTTACACAAGAAAGAATCAACTTCAACAACATATACTTCTAAATATCTACACTGGACAGGTGCTTATTGCTTCATTATTGTTTTACCTTCTGTGAAATTGCACACGACGTTTTTGCAGCTGTTGAATCCATCAGTCATGATCCTTGCTCTTCTTCTCAAAGATTCAAGAATCCCCTTGCTAAAGAAATGTGCAAAAGGGGGATTTGTTATTCAATCCATGGCTGATGATCACGAGAGTGTAAGCTTATATATATACCTTTCACGGGCGAACTGATCATATGAAATATCTCCAGGCTTTGGAGGACTAACCATCAAACCCATCTGCACAGGTCATATCACTCTCAGAACATACTGATGATTTCTACAAAAGCAAATCCAAATTACTTTAAGACCTTTGACTTACAAAAATCTGCGCAGAGACATTGGGGCTGAGGGCAATTGATGCAACCTTGTATATCTCCTCAACAACCTGCAAAATCAGAAATCTTATTATGATTATGTTATGTTTGACACATAACATAAAGTAACTAAATAAAGGTTAAAACAGAGAGTAAGACAAACCCTTGGAGGGAGGTTGGTCATCTCAAAGTATCCACCTCGCTGTCCACATTCGCCCCAATATCCTTTCGAGACTGTGTGAAAAGATACAAGCTGAACTCCCTTGCTGAACGGTGAACCCATTTCCATCAAAACCTTATGATTTTTTAAGAATGGTCATGT